TGGCTGCGTCTGGGCCGCTTCCCGGGCGGCTCAGCCGGCTGCTCCCGCTGAGAGATTTATCCCCGGAGGGGCAGGGCCGTGGGGATGCTGACCCGCCTGCACCCGCCACGGCTCTGGCCTCCCGGAGTTGGCTGACAAATTCTCTCCTCCACAGGCCCACGGTTTCTCTTTTAGTTTCAAATTTCTGTCAGCAGGAACAGACATTGTCTCAGCAAGAGAAAGGAGTTCTACATGGTACCCTTGACTTTGGGTTCAGCAGAGCTCCTGGGACCTTCATCACAGGGAGATCGAAGGTTCCTGTGTGCACCCTGTAGCAGTGTGAATTCTTTCTATTGTTAAGATTAACCAGCCATTTGTTAGGGAAGTTAACGCTTTATCTCATACACACTCCCTCTCTCGACCATATGTGGGTCTCACTGCAAAAGCAATCACTGTATCTCAACGTTTGTTTGAGGCAAGAAGGCCTAGTGTTTAGACTAAGTCAACAGTGGGGCCAGGAAACGCTTGTGGCTTGCAGTAATCCCTTCTGCCTCCAAAGGGAGGGATGACCACTTGAATAAAGATGTTCTCTTGGCAGGGTGTGGTAGCTCACGCCTGTAATCTCAGTACTCTGGGAGGCCGAAGTGGGTGGATCATGAGGTCAGGAGTTCGAGACCAGCCTGGGCAACATGGTGAAACCCCGTCTCTACTAAAAATTCAAAAATTAGCCGGGTGTGGTGACATGCACTTGTAATGCCAGCTACTCAGGAGGCTGAGGTAGGAGAATCACTCGAACCTGGGAGGCAGAGACTGCAGTGAGCCAAGATTTCGCCACTGCACTCCAGCCTGGGCGACAGAGCAAGACTCTGTCTCAAAAAAAAAAGATGTTTTCTGTGTGTCATGTCTTGCTGGTCCTCCAGGTATGTCGATCTGCCAGGAAACTACCCAAATGTGGTCACTTTAGCGTCTATTCCTCCAGCTTAAACCAACATGCCACCCTCTGGGCTAATATCCTGTACCCTGCGAAGTGCATTTTTAAACTTGCTTAGAAATGAATGACAGTCCTCATAAAAAGTCTTAAGTGTCTATGTCTATGAATGCCACTGATGAAAGCCCCAGCAATCTCTCAAAGTGTGCTTGCTTGGAAACCACCTGGGAATCCAGGTTTGCTCCTCCAGATGTTCATTTTGAGGCCTGAGTGTTTCTGCCAACCTCAACCAGGCCACAGAATGACTAGGGCAGTGATGCGGCTCCCATCCTTGGGACAGGGGAGGAAGGACACACACTGGAGGCCACGGTGGCTGCTCAGTGACTTTCAGGGGTCGCCTGCTTTACCGCCCACGGAGAGCTCTTTTAAGAGATGAATATTCCCACCCGGTGTGCTCTCCCTTCAGGAAATCTTCAATTTCCAGATATAAACAGCTTTGGGAAGAGGAGTGGGAGGAGAAGCAGCCTTTGGGAGACAAGCGTTCCTCCACCTCTACGTGGACTCTGGGCTGGGAAGACGGATGGATCTGAATCCCCCGCACATCATGAGTTCTGAGCAGCAACCAAAATCCAACTTTTCTGGAAGGAAATGTTGTTCGCTTAAGCAGCGTCTTGTAATTCACCTCTTGATTTACGCCAGCCATTTCAGACCGTTCCTCCTCCAACCCACTGATTAGATCCAGGCGCTGGGCTTGCTCAGAGACATGCCCTTGGTCTGAACTCCCCCTGCAGGAGCTCCCGGATGAGGCAACTGGGTTTAGTTTAGTTGGCCGCTGGTTGGCCTGGGTGGGTCTCACTGTGCTTAATTTATGTGGCTTCACCCTTTCATGCAACTCAAGAAAGCAACATTTACCAGCTTTCTCTCTTTGCTTGTGGTCTCAGTTCTTTCTTTCTTTTTTCTTTCTTTCTTTTCTTTTCCTTCTTTCTCTCTCTTCTCTTTCCTTCCCTCCCTCCCTTCTTTTCTCTCTTTCTCTTTCCTCCCTTCCTCCCTTCATTCCCTCCCTCTCCCTCCCTCCATCTCTCTTTCTTTCTTTCTGATGGAATTTCCCTTTAGTTGCTCAAGCTGGAGTGCAATGGCACAATCTCAACTCACTGCAACCTCTGCCTCCTGGGTTCAAGCAATCCTCCTGTCTCAGCCTCCCAAGTAGCTGGGATAACAGGTGCGCACCACCGCACGTGGCTAATTTTTTGTATTTTTAGTAGAGACAGGGTTTCACTACATTAGTCAGACTGGTCTCAAATTCCTGACCTCAGGTGATCCACCCACCTCAGCCTCCCAAAGTGCTAGGATTACAGGCGTGAGCCACGACACCTGGCCAGTCTCAGCAATTTTCAACAAAGACAGTGGGCAGGAAGATGCCTGCTACGGCAGCAAAGGTGAATGCATTCATGAGCTGTGTGTAGCAGGCCACAGAGGAGCGTGACCTCCTGCCCCTGACATGCTCAGGGCTGGGGCCCACAGAGGGCTCTAGGCTGCAGAAGAATTAGCTGTGCCCTCTGCTGGAGCACAGAGCTCCGCCAGTCCCTTCAATGTCCAATGCAAGGCTGAAGATGCTGGCTGAAGTGTTCTGCGTATTCCAAGGATTTAATTTGAGATCAAGTTTTTCCTAGCAGCAGTGTCTTTATAATCCTAGAATCTGAGTGAAGAGGGTGCAGCGAGTCACTAAACTCTCCTCTACTTTTGCATATGTTTAAAATTTTCATAATTAAACAATTTAGAAAGTCATCTTGGGTCCACTGGCCTATGTGTCCCATTCTGGGAAAACCAGAATGGTCAAACAGGAACACAGGGCAATGGGATGCTTTGGCAGGTCCTAAGAACAGGGAGGTTGAGGCAGCTGGTTCAGTGTATTGCTCTGAACTAATGAAATATACACAGCATGGCCGGGCGCGGTGGCTCAAGCCTGTAATCCCAGCACTTTGGGAGGCCGAGGCGGGTGGATCACAAGGTCGAGAGATCGAGACCATCCTGGTCAACATGGTGAAACCCCGTCTCTACTAAAAATACAAAACATTAGCTGGGCATGGTGGTGCGTGCCTGTAATCCCAGCTACTCAGGAGGCTGAGGCAGGAGAATTACCTGAACCCAGGAGGCGGAGGTTGCGGTGAGCCGAGATTGGGCCATTGCACTCCAGCCTGGGTAACAAGAGCGAAACTCCGTCTCAAAAAAAAAAAAAAAAAAAAAAAAAAAAGAAATATACACAGCAGAGCCAACCTAGGGACTGCCTGGATGAAGCTTCGGACGTGAGCAGTTTTGCCTGTTGTGACAAAAGTATCTTTTCTCTCCCACCAGAACACATCAAATATGATGAATAGACTCAGATTGAGAATTTTTCCACCTTAATATTTGCATTATGCAAGTGTTCAGGATTCCAAGAAAGTCTTCAAATCAACTATAGCTAAGAAATTATAGCAGTTTAATTATTTTTAAACTGTATCAAACCATATCTATTTGCTCCATATCACTCCTAGTCACAGGGACGATACAATTTCAGAAACCGACCCAGGTCCTTGATGACTTAAGAAGCTAGCTACCTCTCTATTTATAAGAAAAGGAACCACCACCCCCATTGTTGAGTCCACTTTTAGTTGATATGACATTGTGAAATAATAAGACAAATATATAATTAGGCCGGGCATGGTGGCCCACACCTGTAATCCTAGCATTTTGGGAGGCTGAGGCAGGCAGATCACTGAGGTCAGGAGTTTGAGACCAGCCTGGCCAACATGGTGAAACCCCATCTCTACTAAAAATACAAAAACTAGCTGGGCATGGTGGCACGTTCCTGTAATCCCAGCTACTCTGGAGGCTGAGGCAGGAGAATCGTTTGAACCCAGGAGGTGGAGCTTGCAGCCAATTTTTAAATTTTTAGTAGAGATGGGGTTTCACGGCGTTTTTTCTTTTGGAAGACAATCCACTGGCAGGGTTGGGGACTGGGAAGGTGGTAGCCACAGCTCATCCTAGGGCTTCATTTTTTTTTTTTTTTTTTTTGAGACGGAGTTTCCCTCTTGTGACCCAGGCTGGAGTGCAATGGCGCGGTCTCGGCTCACTGCAACCTCCGCTTCCTGGGTTCAGGCATTCTCCTGCCTCAGCCTCCTGAGTAGCTGGGATTACAGGCATGTGCCACCATGCCCAGCTAATTTTTTGTGTTTTTAGTAGAGACGGGGTTTCACCATGTTGACCAGGATGGTCTCGATCTCTCGACCTCGTGATCCACCCGCCTCGGCCTCCCAAAGTGCTGGAATTACAGGCTTGAGCCACCGCGCCCGGCCTAGGGCTTTTTCAAAGGCGAGCTGAGCTACCTTCTCTGTGCTCCAATCCCTGCTCCGGCCTTGGTAGCCTCCTTGGCTTCTTGGAAGCATGGAGGTGGAAACACTGACGTGGCCACGGAGACTCCCACCAAGCCTCAAAGCCTGCATGGGAGGGATTTTCTATCCATGGCCACCTCCTCACCCTCAAGCACAAAGCTGGGCGACTAGCAAGTGCTCATTCAGTGCTGATGAACTTCAGTTGAAAAGCATCAGGTGCAAAGAGAGGAAAGAGGTGCGCTCCTGATTTTTTAAAACTCACATTTCACATAGAAAACACAAAGTTTCTCTGAAATCCCTGGAAACTGCTGCATTGGGGCGGGACCCTGGTGCCTGGAGCTTTAATGCACATCTTGGGCGTCACTTTTGGTTCTAAGGTGGCCCCAGGTCCCTCCTGTAAGATGGGAATAACCATGCCTCAGTCTTTTCCCACGGACACCACACTATACTAGTTTGTGCTCTTTACGAGACCACGAACTACTTGAGGCGAGGGGTTGAGCCTGCTCCTCCGGCTCATTGCCAGAGCCCGCACAGCGCCTGGCTCAACGAAGGGAAAATGAACAAATGAATGAACGAACGAACGAAAGTGGCAGAGGTGACCGCATGAGACGCGGACAGTCCACGCGCACCGCCCTCGCTGGGCTGTGGACCCTCACTTCCGCCGCCAGGAAGTTTCGGGGTCGCCAGCCTTCCCTCCCAGGCTGCTCCGCGCCGGCCGCGCCCCACGCGATTGGCTGCACCGCCTCACGTGACGCCAGGCTGGCGGCGGCGGCGGTTGCCCGGGTGACGGCTGCAGAGGTGGCAGCCCCGCTGGGTGAGCGCAAGTGTCCGCGCCGGAGCAGCAGGTAAGCGCATCCCCGGATGCGGCCGGGCCGCCCTCAGCCCGCCGTCCTGGTGCTGGGAGGAGTAGCGGCGGGGCTGGGGGACCGAGGCTCTGCTGACCTCTCGTTCTGAGGAAAACCTCCACGCGCCCGGTCCGCCGCCGCCGGTTGCCGCCACTTCTCGCCTGGGATCCAGGGATCTTTCTCCCGCAAGGGCGGAGGCGGCCGCCTGTACATCCCAAGGACAGGCCCAGCTGCTTCCCGCAAGTAGTCCCTGATCTTTGCTGTAGTGGGCCAGACTTGGAGGGGGTCTCCCAAGCCGTCCAGCTGGTGGTGGCGGCCCAAGCGGGTTCCCCGGGGCTTAGATCCCCCTCGTAATCTCCATCTGCTAGCCCGGTCCCCCAGCTACCCAGGTGAAGTCCAGACTTCACCTAATCTAAGGAAAAACAGGGTGCGTGCTATGTAGATTTGGCTTCCATACAAATCCCATAATCCCACTCGTTTGTAGGCCTTAAATCTTTATTAAATAGGAGTTCAAAAGCTGCCACTGCAATCCCCAAGTGTGACTGGAAAAGTTTTTCTTAGTTTCTGTATACAGGAGAACAGTGGTTCTCAAACTTGAGAGTGTGTATAAGTCACCCAGGAAGCTTGTTTAAAAGGCAGATTTCTGGGCATGGTGCCTGCCATGGTATGGTGTTCAGTAAGACCAGGGTGGAGGCAGGGATTTTTGTTTGCACAAGAGTCCCAGCTGATTCTGATTTAGGTGGTCCAGACTTTGGGGAAATACTGTGTAGTGGTTCATATCAGCCACTTAGTCACTTACTAACTGTGGCTACTGGGAGTGCATTAGACTTCCTGAGCCTCAAATTGTCTCATCTGGAATGGGAAAATATAAACTGTGTTCACCTCTCAGGTTTACTGTGAAGACTAAATGTAAAGCGTTTTGCACATTGCTTCGCATACAATATATCCTCAATAAATGATACCTATTATGTTTAGAGAAAATTCTGTAATTCCTTTTTCCTTCCTTCCTTCCCTCCCTCCCTCCCTCCCTCCCTCTGTCCCTCTTAGACAGCGTCTTCACTCTGTTGCCCAGGCTAGAGTGCAGTGGTACGATGTCGGCTCACTGCAACCTCCGCCTCCCGGGTTCAAGTGATTCTCTTGCCTCAACTTCCCTAGTAGCTGGGATTATAGGTGCACGCCACCATGCCTGGCTAATTTTTGTGTTTTTAGTAGAGATGGGGTTTCACCATGTTAGTCAGGCTCGTCTCGAACTCCTGACCTCAGGTGATTTGCCTGCCTAGGCCTCCCAAAGTGTTGGATTACAGGTGTGAGCCACTGCACCCGGCGAATTCTGTAATTTCTAAGAATGTCCGAGTAGTAGGATACCCAGCAGCACTCACATTCACTGACAGTCAGCTTATGGAGGGTTACTCTAAGGAGGTGATGTTTATTAGGCGCAGTGGCTAACCAGGTGAAGAAAGGGAAAAGTGTCCTAGGTGGAGGGAGTAATATGTGCAAAGGCCTTGAGGTTGGAAGCAGCTCAAATTCACAAAAACTCACTTTTCTTGTTCCGGGGCCTTTAGAATGCCATCCTCAGCTTGGACTTCATTTGTTCATCATATGTCTTGGGTGCCTATCTTGCTTATGAGGCACTCTGTTAGGTTCTGGGGATATGAAAGTTAAATACAGCTCCCTGTCTTTGTGAACAGGATTATAAGATGTACTAGGCTGGGCATGGTGGCTCATGCCTGTAATCCAGCACTTTGGGAGGCCGAGGCGGGTGGATCCGAAGTCAAGAGATTGAGACCATCCTGGCCAACAGGGTGAAACCCCGTCTCTACTAAAAATACAAAAATTAGCCAGGCATGGTAGTGCGTGCCTGTAGTCCCAGCTACTTGGGAGGCTGAAGCAGGAGAGTCACTTAAACATGGAGGCGGAGGTTGCAGTGAGCTGAGATCGCACCACTGCACTCCAATCTGGTGACAGAGCAAGACTCTATCTCAAAAAAAAAAAAAAAAAAAAAAATCCATGCCAGGTGCAGTGGCTCACTTTGGGCGGGCAGATCATCTGAGGTTAGGAGTTCAAGAACAGCCTGGCCAACATGGTGAAACCCTGTCACTACTAAAATAGTACAAAAATTAGTCAAACGTGATGGCACAAGCCTTCAATCCCAGCTACTTGGAAGGCTAAGGCAGGAGAATCACTTGAACCTGGGAGGTGGAGGTTGCAGTGAGCTGAGATCTCACTACTGTACTTCAGCCTGGAAAAAGGAAGGAGGGGTGGTTCATAGAAGACATCTTGAAGGAGGTTAAGTCTGGCCTCCCTTAGAATGATGAGTCATGTTTTCATGGGGGAAAGGGCATACATCAACCACAGGCTTAGGATCATGAAAGCGCTTCTTGGAATGGCCAGGATTTTGCTGCTAGCAGGGTCCGATGTGGGGAGTTGGTGTAAGGGAGCAAGGAGAAGGATAAGGTGGGGGGAAGGTGGATGGATTCGAGGTGTGGGTCCAGAAAAAGGCTGGAGAGGTGGGTGTCCTCAAGCAGCAGCTGCCTTTCTTCTCTCCCCTTATGCATTTGGCAGGCCTGGGGTGGTGCGTGGGGAGTTTCCTTCCTGTTCCTCATTGCTGCTTCCAGATCACTACCCACTCCTTCACACACCCTGGCTCCTTTGAAGTACATGGCAGGTGCTGTACCCATTGCCAGCCCTCCCTGAGGCAGCCACTTCCCAGGGCAAGTCTCCCCAGTTCCCTTGGAGCTTCCAGAAGTATGCTGGCTGCCGTAGGCAGCTGGGATTACAGGCATGTGCCACCATGCCTGGCTAATTTTTAAATTTCTTATAGAGATGGGGTTTCACCATGTTGCCTAGGCTGGTCTCGAACTCATGAGCTCAAGTGATCTACCTGCCTCGGTGTCCCAAAGTGCCATGATTACAAGTGTAAGCCACTGCACCTAGCCTGTTTCACTTCACTTCTTCTTTTTTTCTTTCTTTTTTTTTTTTTTTTTTTTTGGGACAGAGTCTTACTGTGTCACCCAAGCTGGAGTGCAATGGCACAATCTTGGCTCACTGCAACCTCCACCTCCCAGGTTCAAGCAATTCTCCTGTCTCAGCCTCCTGAGTAGCTGGGATTACAGGCGCGTGCCACCGCGCCCAGCTAATTTTTGTATTTTTAGTAGAGACGGGGTTTCAACATTTTGGCCAGGCTGGTCTCAAACTCCTGACCTTGTGATCCACCCGCCTTGGCCTCTGTTTCACTTCTAATCACTAAATCTGTGTCTTTGCTCAGCACCCATATTCTCTGCCATTCCTCTGTATGGTGTTCCTGCTTCTCCCTTAAACTCTAGGCTCATATATCTGTAAGAATTAAAGAAGGAGAAGAGAAACAGGAAGAATGGTTCGACAGTCAACATGTTTATTTCTTGGGTAACTGCCAAACTTCACCCTCAAACAGTGGGCCTCAGTAAAACAGTGAGCCTTAGTAAGAACATTCCTTTCCCTTCAGGTGCACTAAGATAGGGAAGCTAAAAGCAGACTCGGGGAGTATGCCTGCAGCTGCAGAAAGATGTATGGGAACAGACACACAACTCTCCCTCCCAGATATGCACAGCAAAGAGACACAGAAGCAGTCCAAGCCTCTGATAAACTCTCCCACCCCAAATTCTTAAAACCCCTTTTTTTTTGAAGACGGAATTTCGCTCTTGTTGCCCAGGCTGGAGTGCAATGGCATAATCTTGGCTCACTGCAACCTCTGCGTCCCAGATTCAAGCAATTCTCCTGCCTCAGCCTCCCAAGTAGCTGGGATTACAGACATGCACCACCAAGCCCGGCTAATTTTGTGTTTTTAGTATAGATGGGATTCTTCATGTTGGTCAGGCTGGTCTTGAACTCCCAACCTCATGTGATACACTCACCTCAGCCTCCCAAAGTGTTGGGATTACAGGCGTGAGCCACCATGCCTGGCCAATCTTTAAAAACTCTTATTCTATAAGAGAATACAGCTTCTGACCTAACTTGGTTGGAAGTCCCTCCCAGATGTGAAATAAACCTGTTGACTGTCGAGCCACCCTTCGTGTTTCTCTCCTCTTTCTTTAATTCTTACAGTATCCACTGACCATTTCAGAACCTCCACTGGAATATCTAACAGGCAGCTCAGACTTACAGCTAAAACACAGCTCTTGGTTTGACCTCAAAACAGTCCTCCCTCAGATTTTCATTGACTCAGCAAATGGCATGCTATTCAACCAGCTGCTCAGACCCCAGGGTTCTTCCTTCCCTTCTTCCCCTCACGTTCCACAGCCAACCTGTCTGCTGATTGTGCCTCTTCTGCCTTTTCCATCTGGACTCACAGCACTCATGGCCCCTCTCACTTATCCAAATGCGGCTCATGGCTGACATGGCCTGAGCAATACTCATCTCCCTCTTCCCACTCCCTGCCAGTCTTCTCTGTAGAGCAGGCTACATGCTTGTTAAAAAATGGACATCAGGCCGGGCGCGGTGGCTCACGCCTGTAATCCCAGCACTCTGGGAGGCTGAGGTGGGCAGATCATGAGATTAAGAGGTCAAGACTATCCTGACCAATGTGATGAACTTCTGTCTCTGCTAAAAATACAAAAATTAGCTGCATGGTTGTGCATGCCTGTAGCCTCAGCTACTCAGGATGTTGAGGCAGGAGAGTTGCTTGAACCAGGGAGGTGGAGGTTGTAATAAGCCAAGATTATGTCACTGCACTCTGGTCTGGGCAACAGAGCAACTCCCATCTCAAAAAAAAAAAAAAAAATTGGACGTAAGTGGCTGGGTGGACATCAGTGGCTCACCTGTGTCATTCCAGCACTTTTTTTTTTTGGGAGGCAGAGGAGGGAGGATTGAGCCCAGGAGTTCAAGACCAGCCTGGGCAATGGTGAAACCCTGTCTCTAAATTTAAAAACTCACCAAAAAAAAACTAACAAATGAAAAAAACCACAAAACAAATTAGTGGGGCATAATGGCACAGTTCTGTAGGCCCAGCCACTCGGGAGGCTGAGGTGGGAGGGCTGCTTGAGCCCAGGAGTTTAAGGCTGCAGTGAGCTACGATCATGCCACTGTACTCTAACCTGGGCAACAGAGGCCGACACTGTCTCATGGGGGGAAAAAAAAGGGGGCTATCAGGTGGTGTCAGTCCCTTCCTCTATTTGCTCTCTGAGCCTCCTGTTACTCGGCCTAGTGTTCAAGCCACTTACCAGCTTTGCAAGTCCCACCTGACGTGGCCTCAGCCCCCTGTTGCCTGCCACTCTCTGCCTCACTCACCTCTGGCTACATCCCAATACCCCACTACTGCAGAGCTCTTCAGCCTGAGGCCTGTGCATTAGCAAACCCTGTTCCCCAGATCCAAGTGCTCAATCTTTGCTGAAATGTCACATTCCCAGTAAGGCCGTCAACCACTCTTTCTAAAATAACCCCATGCCCGTCTCCTTCAGGTTATGTCCCTTTCCTTGCACTGTTTTCTTCCTGTCTGGACTTAGTTAACTCCATCAGTGTTTTTGAGCATGTGCTGTGTGCCAGGCACTGGTCTAGGCACTGGGGATGCCAGGGGAACACCTGTCAGGTAGTGGTTGGTGCTGTTGAGAAGAATCAAACAGCACAAAGCGCTGAGAAGTGACGGCCTCTTAGAAAGGGTGGTCAGGGCAAGACGCTCTGAGGAGGTGATGGTTAAGCAGAGACCTGAATGAGATGTGAGTATCTGAAGGAAGGGCAGTGAGCCAGAGCTCACAAGGGCAGGCATGTGCTTTGGGTGTTCAGTGGGTGTCCACTGGAGCCACATAGTGGCTAGTGTGGCTCACGTTTACAGAGCAAATGGGAGTGTGTCAGAGGCCAAGTTGTCTAGGGCTTTGGGAGTTGGGCTGAAGGAATCTGGCCTTCATCCAGAGGGTGGTGGTGGAGAAACCACAGAAGGGTCCCAAGCAGGTGGGCAGTGCTCACTCATTAAAAGTGTAGAAATTGGGTTGAAGTGGAGAGAGAAGGGCTGGGGAGACACTGGCAGAAAAATGTCAGTGTCTTACTTCCATCTTACAGACTCAGAAGAGATCCTCCTGGATGTGGTGGCTCACACCTATAATCCCAGCACTTTGGGAGGCCAGGGTGGGAGGATTGCATTACTTGGGAGTTTGGGCAATTTAGTAAAAAAAAAAAAAAATTACCTGGGCATGGTGGTGTGCACCTGTAGTCCTAGCTACTGGGGAGGCTGAGGAGGGAGCATTGCGTGAACCCAGAAGTTTCAGCTTGTAGTGAGCTATGATCCCACCATCGCACTCCAGCCTGGGCAACAGAGGGAGATCTTGTCTCAAAAAAAAAAAAAAAAAAAAAAAAAAAAAAAAATTAGAAGAGTTCTGATACATTCTGAATTTTTAGATGAAAAAAGGCTCTGCATTGATTTGCCCCAGATCAAGTGCCAGTGAATGGCCTGGTTAGTATTAGAACTCAGACTTTTTAACTCCTCTGGGGTTACTGGCAACTGGTTTGGGCTAAGAGCTTGGGATGTGGGCCACAGGGAATGGCTGCTTTGGGTAGACCTTGGGGGAGGGCTGGCAGAAAGAGTAGGAAGAATTTCTTTTGACTTTAGCCATTGTATTTCCTAGTGCTGCTGAACAAATGACCATAAACTTAGTGGTGTAAAGCAACACAGATTTATTGTCTTACAGTTCTGGAGATCCGAAGTCCGAAATGGGTCTCACTGAGCTAAAATCAAGGTGTCTGCAGGGCTTCATCGTTTCTGGATGCTCTGGGAGGATATGTTCCTTGCCTTATGCAGCTTCTAGAGGCTATCTACCCTCCTTGGGTACTTCCCCTGCTTTATTTATTTATTTATTTATTTATTTATTTATTTTTGAGATAGAGTCTCACTTTGTCGCCCAGGCTGGAGTGCAGTGGTGTGATCTTGGTTCACTGCAACCTCCACCTCCCGGGTTCAAGCAGTTCTCTGCCTAAGCCTCCTGAGTAGCGGGGATTACAGGTGCCCACCACCACACCCTACTAACTTTTTTGTGTATGTTTTTAGTAGAAACAGGGTTTCACCGTCTTGGCCAGGCTGATCTTGAACTCCTCACCTTGTGATCCACCTACCTTGGCCTCTCAAAGTGCTGGGATTACAGGTGTGAGCCACCGCATCCAGCCACTTTCCCCCATTTAAAGCCTGTGATGGCTGTTGAGTCTTTCTCATACTTCATTATGTTGACACTGACCTCATGTTCCCATCTGTCACCCTCTGCTTCCCCCTGCCCCCCCAGTGACTTCCTGGATAATCCATGGATCATCTCCCCATTTAAAGGTCAGCTGATAAGCAACCTTAATTCCATCTGCACCTTAATTCTGCCTTGCCATGTAGCCTCACGTATTCACAGGTTCTGGGGATTAGTGCATGGATGTCTTTGGGGACCATTTTGCTCACCGCAACCAACTTTTTGTGATTTCACAGGTGGTTGAAATGAAAGCTCTTGTATTTTTGCCTTCTAGAGATTTTTGCTGAATTAATTACCAGTAACAGTTCAATATGGGGGACATTCTGGCTCATGAATCTGAATTACTTGGACTAGTGAAAGAGGTAGGTATATTATACAAAACAGAGGTCACAGAGAAACAGATCTTGAAAACTTGTGTTTTAAAATACAACAAACTGTTTAGTGCCTTGTAGTGTTTCTTCTGTTGTTATGTTGGAGCTGTTTATCTATTTTCTATTATATAATATTCCATGTATTTACATTTTGTTTTTATAACTAAACAAATCTTAATGCCACTTAAAAAGTCCCTTTAAAGAAAATTATAATAACAGTAGATGCCCATGGTAAAAGATTTAAGCACTGCAGAAGTATAAAAAGGAAATTTCCTTCTCAGACTTTTTTCTATGAATAGTAAAAATATATTCACGTGTCTGTAGTTTGTTTTACTGAATCAGATGATACATTGTTCTGTAGCTTGCCTTTTATCTGCCAGCAATAATATAGCTTGAACATCGGCCTGTGATCTGCCCTAGATATTTGAATGCTGTAGAGTATTTCAGTGAGTGGCTGCATCATAAGTTTTTTTAGCTCATTGTCTGGTAATGGCCTAGGTTTGACAAGAGGGCTTTGACAAGAGGGCACAGGCCGTAAGCTTTCCAGTGCTGAAGAAATGCTTGCTGCTTGCTGCTGCTTAACTGTGTAACCGTCTGCAGGCTGGAAGAGCCATGGGCTTGGAACAAGGATGAGGCACCCATCATGGAAGTGCAGATTTGGAATTTGGTGGTGTGATGGGCAATACATTATTTTTTTTTTTAATGTAAATTAAAATTTTTTTTTAGGTTAGACCCAGTAGCTCATGCCTGTAATCCTATCACTTTGGGAGGCCAAGGCAGGCAGATCACCAGGTCAGGAGATCAAGACCATCCTGGCCAACGTGGCGAAACCCCATCTTTACTAAAATACAAAAAAAAAAAAAAAGCAAGACATGGTGGCACGTGCTTATAGTTCCAGCTACTTGGGAGGCTGAGTTGCGAGAATCACTTGAATCTGGGAGGCGGAAGTTGCAGTGAGCCGAGATCACACCACTGCACTTTAGCCTGGCAGCAGAGCAATACTCCATCTAAAAGAAAAAAAATTTTTTAGAGACAAGGTCTTGTTCTGTCATTTAGGCTGGAGTGCACTGGTGTGATCATGGTTCACTGGAGCCTTGAACTCCTGGGCTCAAGCAAGCTGCTTGCCTCAGCCTCCCTGATAGCAGAGACTACAGGCTCAGCTAAGTTTTATTTTATTTTTTGTAGAGATAGGATCTCACTCTGTTGTCTAGGCTGGTCTTGAGCTCTTGGCTTCAAGCAGTCCTTCTGTCTCAGCCTCCCAAAGTTCTGGATTGTAGGCATGAGCCACTGTACCCTACCTGTATGCCACATTTTCCTTTAAAAAACTTATTTATTTATTTGAGATGGGGTCTCACTTTGTTGCCCAGGCTGGTCTTGAAGTCCTGAGCTCAAGCAATCTTCCTACCTCAGCCTCCCTAAGTGTTGGGATTACAGGCCTGAGCCATGCCACCTGGCCTATACCACTTTTTCTTTATCCGTTCATCTATTGATAGACACTTAGATTGTTTCCATATCTTGACAATTATGAATAATGCTGCAGTGAGCATGGAGATGCAGATATCTCTTTGAAATACTGATTGTATTTCCTTTCTATATATACCCAGAAATAAGATTGCTGAGTCATATTGTAGTTCCATTTTTATTGTTTTGAGGAACCTCCATACAGTTTTCTAAAATGGCTATACCAATTTATAATCTCACCAACAGTGCACAAGTGTTTTCTTTTGTCCACATCCTTGCCAACACTTTTTATCTTGTGTCTTTTTTATAATAGTCATTCTGACAGGTGTGTGATAATGATGTCTCTGTGGTTTTGATTTGCATTTCCCTGGTTGTCAGTGATGTTAAACACCTTTTCTTGGATCTGTTGTCTTTTTAATGTTTTCTTTGCAGAAAATCTGTTCAGATCCTTTGCCTGTTTTTTTTTTTTTCTTTTTTTTTTTTTTGTTGTTGTTGTTGTTTTGAGATGAAGTCTCGCACTGTCACCCAGGCTGTAGTGCAGTGCCGCGATCTCGGCTCACTGCAATCTCCATCTCCTGGGTTCAAGCAATTCTCCTGCCTCAGCCTCCTGAGTAGCTGTGGCTACAGGCGTGTGCTGCCATACCCAGCTAATTTTTTTGTATTTTTAGTAGAGAGCGGGTTTCACCATGTTGGCCCAGATGGCCTTGATCTCCTGACCTTGTGATCTGCCTGCCTTGGCCTCCCAAAGTGCTGGGATTACGTGCCTGTTTTTTAATTGGATTATTTGTTGGTTTGTTTGCTGTTGAATTGAATTATTTTTTTTTATAGTATTTAGATTTTGCTGAATTTGAAGACACCTTGAAAACATTTTCAAAAGAATGCAAAATAAAAGGAAAACCATTATGTAAACCAGTAGGCGGATCTTTCAGAGACTCCAAATCATTGACAATTCAGGTAACATTTTGCTTATTTTTCATCCGGGTAGATAATTCAAGATGCTCCCAACTTGTGGAAAATGCTGCCACTGGAGGGTGCTGGAATAGCTTTTGAGCACCTGCTCAGAGTTACCTTAGACTGCACAAGTGTTTATAGATGAACTAACGATGTCATTTGAAATCTCTGTACCCTCCCTAGGAAATGTGTGGTCATATAATTTCCGTTCTTTTGGATCTTTCACATACATTTCTTGGGAAGAAGGAAAAGAAGAAACCATGCGATGTTTAGGAACTGAGACAATTGTGGCCTCCCTGTGAGGAGTTTCAGGTTATTAATTCCAGGCACTGGCAATCCGGCAGTGAACAAACAAGATCCAACCCCTGCCTGCAAAGCATTTGCATTCTAACTTGGGGGCGGGTGGAGAGAGCAGGGAGCAAGAGTGGGACTGACAAGGCAGGTCCTGTGGAAGCAGGTCTGAGCAGCTCTGTGAATCCCAGTGGGCTGCAAGGGCACAGAGGTTATACAGACCTCGGCTCTTAGCGTTAGATAAAAGTCCTTGGCTGGGCATGGTTGCTGACTCCTGTAATCCCAGCACTTTGGGAGGCCGAGGCAGGAAGAGCGCATAAGCCCAGGAGTTCAAGACCCGCCTGTTCGACATAGTGGGACCTCGTTTTTTTTTTTTTTTTTTTTTTTTTTTTTTTTTTTAATGGAGTCTCACTCTGTCACCCAGGCTGGAGTGCAGTGGCGTAATTTTGGCCTTCTGCAATCTCCACCTCCTGGGTTCAAGTGATTCTCCTGCCTCAGCCTCCCGAGTAGCTGGGATTACAGGCAGAAGTCACTGCACCTGGCTAATTTTTGTATTTTTAGTAGAGACTGCATTTCACAATGTTGGCCGGGCTTGTCTCAAACTCCTGACCTCAAGTGATCCACCTGCCTTGGCCTCCCAAAGTGCTGAGATTACAGATGTGAGCCACTGTGCCCAGCCAAGACCTTGTTTCTATAAAAAATAAAAAATTGGCCAAGCATGGTGGCATGCACCTGTGTCCCAGCTACTCAGGTGACTGAGTTAGGAGAATCACTGGAGGCCAAGAAATCAAGGCTGCGTTGAGCATGATCTTACCACTGCACTCCAGCTGTAGAGGCAGGGTGAGACCCTGTCTCCAAAAAAATAAAACAGTCATTTAACCATTATTTGATGTCTCAATCTCATTTGTAATATGCCAGGAAAATAATCAGTTCACTTAAAATATTTCCAGTGAGACAGACTACCATTTTCTGAGACAGCATGTTCCACCTTTGGATGATTTTATTATTATTTATTATTTAATTTTTTTAATTTAAAAAAAATTTATGTAGAGACAGGGTCTTGCTGTGTTTCCCAGGCTGGTCTGAAACTCCCATTCTCAAGTGATCCTCTTGCCTCAACCTTCCAAAGCACTGGGATTGTAGGCATGAGCCACTGCACCTGGGGCCTTGTTATTCTAACAGATTTTTTAATTTTTTTTTTTTTTTTTTTTTTTTTTGAGACGGAGTTTCGCTCTTGTTAGAGCTGGAGTGCAATGGCGCGATCTCGGCTCACTGCAACCTCCGCCTCCTGGGTTCAGTCAATTCTCCTGCCTCAGCCTCCTGAGTAGCTGGGATTACAGGCACCCGCCACCATGCCCAGCTAATTTTTTATATTTTTAGTAGAGACGGGGTTTCGCCATGTTGGCCTGGATGGTCTCGATCTCTTGACCTTGTGATCCACCCACCTCGGCCTCCCAAAGTGCTGGGATTACAGGCTTGACCCACCGCGCCCGGCCCAGATGTTTAAATTTGAACATACCTACTTTCAGAAATAATTTGAGGCTTGGCTTGCAAGCCCCTTGAGTAGCTAGAGTTCACGTGGCAGCCACCACTGGCTTTCTCATGGTCCTCGACCCCGAGTGGCCTGGCATGGGCACTGTTGAGAGTGGGGCACTGTTGAAGTGGCCCATGGAGCTCAAGGTGGGGCTGCACCCTCTGCCTGCTCCCTTTCAGGCCTCAGGCACCTGGATGCTGAGCTGCTGCTGCTTCAGGTTGACACAGACTCATCTGTGGATGCTACAGCAGCCAGACCTCCCTGGCACGCCCACACCTGGAGCGAAATTTTCAGAACATACAAGAATATAGTCATTATTAGAGGTGAAAGCAGGTTCTTAGAGTGAAGTGTGTTCCTCAGGAAATCAGCTTCATTCCCCAGCACCTGCCTTCCCTGTTTTTTTTTTTCTGGATGAAGAAAGACTTTTACACTACACGTTGGAAGTATATGTGAGCATCTCTTAATTAAAACTACCATTTGGGGGCCGGGCGCGGTGGCTCAAGCCTGTAATCCCAGCACTTTGGGAGGCCGAGGCGGGTGGATCACGAGGTCAAGAGATCGAGACCATCCTGGTCAACATGGTGAAACCCCGTCTCTACTAAAAATACAAAAAATCAGCTGGGCATGGTGGCGCGTGCCTGTAATCCCAGCTACTCAGGAGGCTGAGGCAGGAGAATTGCCTGGACCCAGGAGGCGGAGGTTGCGGTGAGTCGAGATCGCGCCATTGCACTCCAGCCTGGGTAACAAGAGCGAAACTCAGTCTCAAAAAAAAAAAAAAAAAAAAAACTACCATTTGGGAGGATTAGAGCAAATCCTCAATACCTAACTAGCAGAACAGTGAGAATCTTTTGTGAAGTTCACACATGACCAGATTATGTGATGATACAGGGCAAGGGCAACAGGCCCTGTGTCTTGAAGCTTCTTTTCATATCAGGTCCCTCCAGAGGTGGCTGCTGTACACTTTTTGCACCTGGTTTGTCGTCATGTTTCAGCTCCAGCTGCATCTGAGAACACTCAAATGTCTCTTTAGGTCTTTTTTAAAAATTGTGATTGAAGATAACCAAAAATGTATCATCTTAACTATTCTTATGTGTACAGTTTAGTAGTGTTAAGTGTATTCACATTGTTGTAAAACAGATCTCTAGAAGTTTTCATCTTACAAATTTGAAAATCTCTCCCCACTTAATACCTCCCCCTAGGCCTTGGCAGCCACTGTTCTACTTTCTGTCTGTGAATTGGCTACTTTATGATATGTCATATTCTGTTTGTTTTGTTTGTTTGTTGGTTTTGAGATGAAGTTTCACTCTTGTTGCCCAAGCTGGTGCAATCTCGGCTTACTGCAACTTTCACTTCCCAGGTTCAAGCATTTCTACTGCCCCAGTCTCCCAAGTAGCTGGGATTACAGGTGGGCGCCATGACACTCAACTAATTTGTTTGTATTTTTAGTATAAACAGGGTTTCACCATGTTAGCCAGGCTAGTCTCGAACTCCTGACCTCAGGTGATCCGCCTGCCTCGGCCTCCCAAAGTGCTGGGCTTACAGATGTGAGCCGCCACATCCGGCCATGATATGTCATATTAATGGAATCATGCAGTATTTGTCTTTCTGTAATTGATTTATTTCACTCAGCATAATGTCGTCAAGGTTCATTCATGTTGTAGTATATGACACGATTTCCTTTCTTTTTAAAGGCTGAATAATATTCTGTGATATATATTCACACACACACACACACACACACACACACACACACACCACAGCTTGTTTATCTGTTCTTCTGTTGATGGACACTTGGGTCACTTCCACCTCTTGGCTGTTAAGAATAGTGCTGTAGTGAACCTGGGTGTGCAAGTGTCTCTTTAAGGCCTTGCTTTCTGTTCTTTTGGATGTATACACAGAAGTATTGCTGGATCAAATGGTAGTTCTATTTGTTTGTTTGTTTTTTGAGGTGGAGTCTTGCACTGTCACCCAGGCTGGAGTACAGTGATGTGATCTCAGCTCACTGCAGCCTCCATCTCCTGGGTTCAGGCAAGTTCCCTGCCTTAGCCTCCTGAGTAGCTGGGATTACAGGCGTGGGCCACTCTGCCTGGCTAATTTTTTGTATTTTAGTGGAGATGGGGTTTCACCAAGTTGGCCAGGATGATTTCGATTTCCTGACCTCATGATCTGCCTACCTCAGCCTCCCAAAGTGCTAGGATTACAGACGTGAGCCACCAAGCCCAGCCTAGTTCTATTTTTAATGTTTTGAGGAATTGCCAAGCTGTTTTACAAAGTGGTTGTACCATTTTCCGTTCCCACCAGCAGTACATAAATGTTCCAATTTCTCTATATCCTTGCCAACACGTGCTGGTTTTTCTGTGTGTGTTTTTAAAAATTTAGCCATTTTGATGGGTTTGAAGTGATATCTTTTTTTTTTTTTTTGAGACTGAGTTTCACTCTTGTTACCCAGGCTGGAGTGCAATGGCGTGATCTCGGCTCACCGCAACCTCCGCCTCCTGGGTTCAGGCAATTCTCCTGCCTCAGCCTCCTGAGTAGCTGGGATTATAGGCACGCGCCACCATGCCCAGCTAATTTTTTGTATTTTTAGTAGAGACGGGGTTTCGCTATGTTGACCGGGATGGTCTCGATCTCTTAACCTTGTGATCCACCCACCTCGGCCTCCCAAAGTGCTGGGATTACAGGCTTGAGCCACCGCGCCTGGCCGTGATATCTTGTCATTGTTTTGATTTGTATTTCTCTGATGTCTTCAGGACAAACTTTCTGATTGTCACAAGTGTGTCTGTCTTTTCTGCTCATCTAATCAACAGCTGTGTCCCCCACTATGGTAGATTTCTCAGATGAAAAATACTGGTTTGAGGGAAGAAGAGTTTGGGGAAACAAAATTATAAAAAGAAAAAAATACCTAGAAGTGAGGTTCAGCAAAATATGCTAATTGTTAGTGGAACTCAAAACATAGTGAGTTTCCCCAAGCAGTTTTATGTGTATAGTTCAGTAGTGTTAAGTATGTCTACATTGTTGTGAAAGGTGAGAAGCATGTGTGTTTATGAGTTACTATCGATAGTGTGCACATTTTCTTATCTTGTTGATTCTGGTTTGATCATGGTTTATAGAACATCACTAATATTTTGTGACTGTAAATTGTAATAGTGGATCCTTTTAAGTGTGGGTATTATTTTAAGGTCAGGGACCATTTCCAGGCACAGAATATGAGTCATCAGTTAGGACAGATGATAGATGTGATTATAATGACATAGCAAAGGTTTGTGGTTTCACATGTACAAATATAGACTTTAGAACAAACTGTAGATGGGCCGTATGACTTGTGGACTCTGCCAGGCCATGTTAAGAAAATACCTTTTCTCTAAGCCATAACATACCGCAAGAGTCTGCAATTGCCTCATCCACACAGAGGGCTGCTGGTCACCCCACTTCTCGTGGCAAGGCCTCCTGAGGAGTGGTCACAGGACTTGCCTGGGACCTTGGCAGAGGTGAGCGTGGGGCTGAGCCTAGCCCCACAGCACTGCTCCTGAGAGGATCCCTTCATCTTTGTGGCAGTCATTAACAAGCATGCTGGTCTCTGGCCAGCTTCCCCAGATTCTTCCCAGAGGTGGCTGTGTTCATCGGCTTGTGCTTTGTTTTGGCATACCCCACCCACAGATGCTAACAGATTGTTCCTTGCTTGTGTCCGATAGGAACAGAAGAACCAGCCTGGAGGAGGTAGATGCTCATTGTAGGGCTTATTTGAAAAATTCTGAGTTTACTTCCAATGTAACGAGCACCTTCTGGCATAAGGCAGTATTCAGACACAGTTCTTGATTACATGACATAGTGAACACTTTTGTAATATTCACATTTGAGGATTTCTTACTAATCAACATCTTTGACAGTGTAACCAAAACATTGTTATGTTATTTGTTCTCTATACATTTCCATTTTATAATGCTGGAAAATAGAAAAATTGCTTATAAACAAATACTTTTTTAAAAAATGACAATTATGCAGGAAAATTTTTTGTAAATACTTTCTCTCTCTCTCTCTCTCTCTCTCTAAGGGTCCCATTCTATTGCTTAGGCTGGAATGCAGTAGTGTGGTCTCAGCTCACTGCAACCTATTCCCCCTGGGGCTCAGATGGTCCTCCCAACTCAGCCTCCCAGGTAGCTGGGACTACAGGCATGTGTCACCATGCCCAGTTAATTTTGTATTCTTTTTGTAGAGACAGGGTTTTACCATATTGTCCAGGCTTGTCTTGAACTCCTGGGCTCAGACAATCTGCCCAGCTTGACTTTCCAAAGTGCTGGGATTACAGGTGTGAGCTACCACACCGGGCCATGTAAACTCATTTTTAAAAGCATAAAAGAACAATGGCCAAATAATGGTGGTAAATAACAATGGTATTGGGTGGGGAATTGGGGATTCTATAGAAAATCCAATCACAGCCGGGCGCGGTGGCTCAAGCCTGTAATCCCAGCACTTTGGGAGGCCGAGGCGGGTGGATCATGAGGTCAAGAGATCGAGACCATCCTGGTCAACATGGTGAAACCCCGTCTCTACTAAAAATACAAAAAATTAGCTGGACATGGTGGCGCGTGACTATAATCCCAGCTACTCAGGAGGCTGAGGCAGGAGAATTGCCTGAATCCGGGAGTCGGAGGTGCAGTGAGCCGAGATCCCGCCATTGCACTCCAGCCTGGGTAACAAGAGTGAAACTCCGTCTCAAAAAAAAAAAAAAAAAAAAAGAAAATCCAATCGCAGAAACACTTTTGCAGTTGAGCACAAAATGTAAGTTCAGACATCTTGGGCATTCGATATAAAAAGAACAGTAGCAGCTGCATTGTTTTGGACTGCTAGGAAGTCCTTCACTTCTGCCTTGTACTTAAATCCACAAAATTATGCCACAGTTATTTGTGACAGGTGAGTTATCTTCCTTGTGAGACAGGTGACTTGATAATCGCCACCTCCTTTCTCCAGAATTCTCTCAAGTAGTGCACGGGATGGTAAATCAGGACACTGCCACTGTCTCAGGTAGACTCACACGGCTCTGTGGCCAAACGGCACTGAGCCGGTGCTCCTTCCTCCATCTCCAGCCTTCTCTGTCACTACAGTTGCAGCTGGCAGGCATGGACAGTCACCTTATGGTATATTGGGGTCTATGGTGGCTTCCTTCAGCTCCGTCTCTGCCTGGCATGCTTCTAGCAACAGGGCAAGTGTCAGTGCTACCTCCCGGGCCCAGGGTTGACTGGGTTAGTGTGTTTGGGTTCCTGGCCACTCCAGGACGTGGAGCTGTGCTGTCGGCAACCTTCTGTGTGTGTGAAGTTTGTTCCTGGGAGGCCCGGCTAGACTCTTGGTCTGGCCAGCTTTTGTCAGTTGCACGCGGTGGGTCAGCAGGTCCAAAGGGTGACTTCGGTATATTCACATGTCTATGAGTTGTCTGGCCCCAAGTCTTTGTTTTATGCTTGATTCTTTCTATTGCAAAGACCTTAAATGTTTTGTGTGTTCTTTATAGTGCTCAAAGGGGTGGGAAACCAGGGTTGATCTGCAGGAATTGCAGTCTCCAGAACTTGGATACTGTGGGATCTCTGTTTTTCTATTTTTTTACCTCTGAAATGGAGGATATGGGAGCTCTGTGGTACTGAGTGGGTTGTGAGGATTTTGGGTGTGGAAACTCAAGACTAGGTGTGGTCTGATGTCTTTTCCACAGAAGGATCTTGTCACTGCGTTTGACAATGGAGACCAGAAGATATTCTTCGATCTGTGGGAGGAGCACATTCCCAGTTTCGTCCGTGATGGGGATTCCTTTGCCCAGAAGCTGGAATTCTATCTCCACATCCATTTTGCCATCTATCTTCTGAAGCACTCTGTGGGGAGACCGGTGGGTTTACCTGGTGATGCGGCTGGGTCTGAGTGGTGTGTTAAGGAGCAGCATTTGCTGTCATTTTCCACCTGAATGTGGATTTCGTATGTGACTCTGTTGTATTGCTTATAAGGTACAGGTATCTTCTGTCCTGGTGAGTGATTTTTCTACCTTATTCCAAGCAGCTGATCTTCTAATTTCTATGGAGATTTAATAATTTCTGTAATCAGAGCTACATTGTTTTTTTAAATACCTCAAGTTTTTGAAAACTCATTAAAGTTTAGTTGGCAACTTAATATGTAGACATGTATGTCTAAGAGAACACATATTTCAGCTGCATATTAGACCCTATATTAGAACATAAATTTAGTTGCTTATTTATTTGAGACAAGGTCTTGCTGTGTTGCCCAGGTTAGGCTTGAACTCCTGGGTTCAAACAGTCCTCCCACCTGGGCCTCCCAAAGTGCTGGGATTACAGGCATGAGCCACTGTCCCTGGCCAGAACATACATTTAAACTTAAGTAGTGGAAAAGTGTCTGTCTGTGGAAAGTCCCTTTGGGTGATGGGTTGAATTTAGCATCTGCAGTCTTTTCCCAGATGGGGCTGGAGATGGGAAGAATGGAGAGGGCTGGAATGTCAAGCTGCTTCGGTGGCTGAGCTTTGAGTGCAGAGGAAATGACAGAAGGGCAGCAGAGGCGAACTGGCATTTGACCCTGCATGTTAACTCCTGCCCCGCGGACCAGTGTTACGCATGAGAATGTCAGAACACCAAAGGCGGGGACAGTGGTGGAAGGAGCAGCAGACCGTACATTGTAGTAGCTGTTCTTGGAAGGCGTTCCTCAGGTTATTACTCATGCAGGGAAGATCACAGAAGATTTTCATTTTCCGTTTGTATTTCTGTTTCTTCTTGGTTCTTGATTTTTTTTTTTTTTTTTTTTTTGAGACGGAGTTTCACTCGTTACCCAGGCTGGAGTGCAATGGCACGATCTCGGCTCACTGCAACCTCCACCTCCTGGGTTCAGGCAGTTCTCCTGCCTCAACCTCCTGAGTAGCTGGGATTACAGGCACGCGCCACCATGCCCAGCTAATGTTTTGTATTTTTAGTAGAGACGGGGTTTCACCATGTTGACCAGGATGGTCTCGATCTCTTGACCTCGTGATCCACCCGCCTCAGCCTCCCAAAGTGCTGGGATTACAGGCTTGAGCCACCGCGCCCTGCTAAAAATTTTTATTTCTATTTTTAAAATGTTCAATTTTGATATAAGATACAAATCAATAAGTGTTATCTGTTTTTAGAGTCTAGGGGTCCAAAGAGGGTCTCATGCTGTAGGTCAACTGAGACATGATTGTAAGAACAGGCTTAGCCTGTGAAGGCTGTGATTGGTAGAGCTGGCGGAGGACAGGGAAGCAGAACCCCAAATTCACCTCGGTTGTCTCATTGACGGCCAAGAGGAGACAGAAGCCCCGAGAGGAGAACAGACTTGCCTGGGATACACATGGAATCGTGATGCAGAGCAAGCCCAGCCCCTTAGCACAAGAAAGGAAAGGAATGATGTGGAAGCTTCTGTTTCAAAACACCATAAAGAAATGCTGTTAACCTTTAGAAACTGTGCCTGCTGGAGTCATGGGAATGTAGATAGATACTTATTTATATCTGAAAAATGGAAGCAATGTATATATCTAATAATGGGGAAATTCGTTAAATAAATATGACAGAGAAGATGAGGTTTTATCCTGCCAATAAAAATGTTTATGAAGAATTTTAAGGATGTGAGAAAATGGCAGTAATAAAGTTAAATAGAAGCATATTGAACTGTATATATAGTTCCTCTGATCTTTCTGACAAAGTTTCATTAAGGGGGAAATTTAGGGTGGATGGTAGAATACTAGAGACTGTGCACCTGCCAGACAGATATTTATTTCAGATATAAATAAGTATCTGTTTGCATTCCCATGACTCCAGCAGGCACTGGACACCAGCGACATGACTGGGACAGAAGGAGCCTTGGAGAGAGGATGGGGTGAGCAGGTGGACTGGCCATTGAGCCGGAGACCTCAAATCAGTGTTTTCCTTCTTCCAGGACAAAGAGGAGCTGGATGAAAAGATTTCTTATTTCAAAACCTACCTGGAGACCAAAGGGGCAGCCTTGAGCCAGACCACAGAGTTTCTTCCTTTCTATGCCCTTCCTTTTGTTCCCAACCCTATGGTGCACCCCTCATTTAAAGAACTCTTCCAGGTGAGTGTCAGCTTTTAACTCTTGTGTCTGATCCTGGGCGACACTGGTTTCACCTTCTGTATGCTGGGGGTTTGTGAATGACGCTTTGAAAAACTAAAATTTGCTTATGTTGTTATTATTATTTTAATTATAGCCGTAATTTGTTTAGTCATCCTCCCATTGCATGGTTAGTTAGGTTTGATTTTTTTGCCATCCTTTATTAGGAGTGGTTAACAACTTGTACATACATTAAATTTGGAAGAGTTACAGTAATTAACACTTTGTAATAGCAGAAACTAAGTACAATCTAATTGTGTACCAACAGGAGCATGCATAACTACATTGTGTTATATTCACACAATAGAGTATTATACATCAATGAGAATGAATGAACTAAATCACACATTGATGTAATCTTAAGCCACATACAAAAGAGGACATGCTATGTGATACCCTTTATGTATACATCAGAGCAAACAAAAGTAGTTTTTAGGCATATATTTGTACCAGTGTTAAATGTTACAGAAAGTTGGCTGGTCATGGTGGCTCATGCCTGGGAGGCCAAGGTGGGTTGATCACTTGAGGTCAGGAGTTCAAGACCAGCCTAGTCAACATAACGAGACCCCCATCTCTACTAAAAGTACAAAAATTAGCTAGGCATGGTGGCATGTGCCTGTAATTCAAGCTACCCAGGAGGCCAAGGTAGAAGAGTTGCTCAAACCCAGGAGGTGAAGGTTGCAGTGAACCAGGATCACCACTGGACTACAGCCTGGGCGACAGTGAGACCTTATCTCAAAAAAGGATGAAAAAAAAGGTTACAGAAAGCAAGAATTCTTACCTGTTCAAATGGCAACTTTAAACATTTTACATTATCACAAATAGAATTGACTTTTCAGCATGTATCGTTCTATGAGTTTTAACACACGTGTGTTTTGTTTGTTTGTTTGTTTGTTTGTTTGTTTGAGACAGAGTCTTGCTCCATCGTCGAGGCTGGAGTGCAGTGGCGCATTCTCAGCTCACTGCAACCTCTGCATCCCGGGTTCAAGCAATTCTCCTGTCCCAGCCTCCCAAGTAGCTGGGACTACAGGCACCTGCCACCACACCTGGCTAATTTTTGTATTTTTAGTAGAGATGGGGTTTCACTTTGTTAGTGAGGCTGGTCTCAAACTCCTGACCTCAGGTGATCCACCCTCCTCAGCCTCCCAAAGTGCAGGGATTACAGGTGAGGGCCACTGTGCCCGGCCTTGTTCGTTTGCTTTTTGGAGACAGAGTCTCATTCTGTTCACCCAGGTCACTGTCACTCAACTGCAACTGATGCAATTCTTCCAAATCCCAGTACACTTCAGCATCCCATTCAGTTAGAATTCTTTAAAACAACTTTCATCCCTCCTGAATAGTAGCTGCTAAACTCAAGGTTACTTAGTTGACTGCTTTCATCAAAGCAGGCCTTTTGTAGAGCAGCCCAAGTTGAAAGTTTTGCTTTTTTTTGTTGATCATTCTACATTTAGCTTTACCTACTTCCTCTTCCAGAATATTGAAGAAATAAGCAGTTAAGAAGGTGATTAGGCCGGGCGCGGTGGCTCAAGCCTGTAATCCCAGCACTTTGGGAGGCCGAGGCGGGTGGATCACGAGGTCGAGAGATCGAGAGCATCCTGGTCAACATGGTGAAACCCCGTCTCTACTAAAAATACAAAAAATTAGCTGGGCTTGGTGGCACGTGCCTGTAATCCCAGCTACTCAGCAGGCTGAGGCAGGAGAATTGCCTGAACCCAGGAGGCGGAGGTTGCGGTGAGCCGAGATCGTGCCATTGCACTCCAGCCTGGGTAACAAGAGCGAAACTCCGTCTCAAAAAAAAAAAAGAAGGTGATTAAATTTGGAAGGGTTCAAATGTCTTGGAGGATTAAAACAAAGAAAATAATAAAAAGAAATTTTAAAAGAATTAAAAATTAACTTTAAAAATTTCTAAAAATAAATAATCTTGGAAGTGGATGGTAGGTTTTCTCACAGTGAGACTTCTGTTCCTGAGTATTCTGTTCATGAATATTCTGGCATAGTGGCATGTATAAAGCTTGGATCCAGGTGGCGGTAGAGCTGATAGAATCAGGGATGGGCCCAGCAGAGGCTGCAGCTGGCAGCTTGACTCACTCAGATTTGGTGTCCAAGATGGAGTTCAGGTTCTGCTGGTTTAAGGAACTTAAGGGCCTTCTATATTCATGGAGATTCATTTTATTCCATTTTTTTCTTTTGTTAACTACATATGTTCTTTTAGTGGGAATCACAGGTATTTTAGTATGTATACATAATAAAGTCAATTTTTTTTTTGAGATGGAGTTTCATTCTTGTCACCTGGGCTGGAGTGCAGTGGCTTGATCTTGGCTTACTGCAACCTCTGCCTTCCGAGTTCAAGCAATTCTCCTGCCTCAGCCTCCTGAGTAGCTGAGATTATAGGCATGTGCCACCATGCCCGGCTAATTTTTGTATTTTTAGTAGAGATGGCGTTTCACCATGTTGGCCAGGCTGGTCTCAAACTCCTGACCTCAGGTGATCTGCCTGCCTTGTCCTCCCAAAGTGCTGGGATTACACGTGTGAGCCACTGCACCCAGCCATAAAGTTGAAATTTAATCTATTTTCTTCCAGAACATTCAAGGAACTTAGAATGCATTACCTTCATTTATCTCCTTCCCAATTTATATGCTTTTTTTTTTGGCCAAGTATCTTAGTTATACATTTTAAATGTACAGATTAGAAAGTTTTACTATTTTGTACAATCAGTGTGTGTAGATTTCCCTTATAGCTACCGGTATTTTTGTTCATCATTCCATCGTGTGTTAAGGACCTTCCATCTGGGATAGTTGTCTCCTCCTATTTAAGTACATTTCTTTAAAATCCCCTTTCCTTGAAGATCTGTTCTTTCAGTTCTTGCTTGATTACAGTGTCTGTTGCTTTCTCAGATAGGATTTTGAATACTAGGTTTACAGTTATTTTCTCTTAGTACATTCAAGATACGAAGCTTAGCTAGCTTGCGTCATCTCCTAGCTTGCATTGCTGCTGTTTTGAAGTTGGCTGTCAGTCTAATTGCTGTTTCTTTGTAGGTGATCTATCTCTTTTCTCTGGCCTTTGGGATTGTATCATTTCCCTACAGTGTTTCTAGGGATAGATTTCTATTTTTACTTGGGATTTGTTGGGTTTCCTGGATATGTTTTGTGTCTTTCAACTACTCTGGAAAATTCTCAATTTGTATGTCTTCATATATTACCATTCTCTTTATTATCTCCTAAATATCTGATTAAATGTGTATTTGACTAATTATATCCTTCACATCTTTTTTTTTCATTAAAAAAAAATTGTGAAGGCCGGGCGCGGTGGCTCAAGCCTGTAATCCCAGCACTTTGGGAGGCCGAGGCGGGTGGATCACGAGGTCAAGAGATCGAGACCATACTGGTCAACATAGTGAAACCCCGTCTCTACTAAAAAAAAATACAAAAAATTAGCTGGGCATGGTGGCGCGTGCCTGTAATCCCAGCTACTCAGGAGGCTGAGGCAGGAGAATTGCCTGAACCCAGGAGGCGGAGGTTGCGGTGAGCCGAGATCGCGCCATTGCACTCCAGCCTGGGTAACAAGAGCGAAACTCCGTCTCAAAAAAAAAAAAAAAAAAAAAAAAAAAAAATTGTGGTAAAATACACATAACATAAAATTTACCATTTTTACTTTTTTTGTTGTTGTTGTTAAAGAGACGGGATCTTACTCTGTCTCCCAGGCTGGAGTACATGATTATAGCTCACTGCAGCCTCAACCTCCTGGGCTCAAGTGATCCTCCCACTTCAGCCTCCCGAGTAGCTAGACTATAGGCATGCACTGCCACCATTTTGACCGTTTCTGAGGGTTTGGCTGAGTAGTGCACGTCATTGTGCTCGCCATCCCTTTTAACATCTTATGTTTTCCCTCTCCTAATCTCGCTGGCTGTATTCTGGGTGATTTCTTCAGCTCTGTCTTCCAGTTCCCAAATCACCCTCCAGCTGCTTAGTTTGTCCTTTAACCTTTTCATTGAATTTGTAACTTCAGTTAACTCTTTTTTTTTTTTTAAATTGAGGTGGAGTCTTGCTCTGTTGCCCAGGCTGGAGTGCAGTGGCCTGATCTTGGCTCACTGAAACCTCTACCAGCTGGGTTCAAGCAATTCTTGTGCCTCAGCCTCCCAAGTAGCTGGGACTACCGGCGCATGCCACCACACCCAGCTAATTTTTTTGTATTTTTAGTAGAGACAGGGCTTCACCACATTGGCCAGGCTGGTCTTGAGCTCCTGACCTCAGGTGATCCTCCTGCCTCAGCCTCCCAAAGTGCTGGGATTACAGGCATGAGCCACCATGCCCAGCAACTCTTTTTTATAGAAGTCTTTTTTTTGTTGTTTATTCAAATTTGCTGGGACATTTTTATAGCCTCTCATTCCTTCCTCTCTTTTATTTCTTTAATACATTAAAAAATTACTTCATGTTCTCTGTTAGTTTGAAAAACAGAAGTCTTTGTAGATTTGATCCAGCTGTTTCCCTTTCCCCTTCCCCTTCCCCTTTAACATTTTAACGGTGAGTTCATTTTACTTGGGGCTGAGGGAATTTTTTTGAGGCTTAGGAATAGTTGGATACCTCTAGAAAAAATTTGCATTTGTGTCTTCAGTCACCAGGGGCATTACCAACCCAGGACTGTTTTTGTTTTTGTTTTTCTTTGATGATTTTTTTTTTTTTTTATTTTTTTTGAGACGGAGTTTCGATTGTTACCCAGGCTGGAGTGCAATGGCGCCATCTCGGCTCACCGCAACCTCTGCCTCCTGGGTTCAGGCAATTCTCCTGCCTCAGCCTCCTGAGTAGCTGGGATTACAGGCACTTGCCACCATGCCCAGCTAATTTTTTGTATTTTTAGTAGAGACGGGGTTTCACCTTGTTGACCAAGATGGTCTCTATCTCTTGACCTTGTGATCCACCCGCCTCGGCCTCCCAAAGTGCTGGGATTACAGGCTTGAGCCACCGCGCCCGGCCCTTTTTTGGATTTTTTAGTAGAGACGGGGTTTCACCATGTTGACCAGGATGGTCTCGATCTCTTGACCTCGTGATCCACCCGCCTCGGCCTCCCAAAGTGCTGGGATTACAGGCTTGAGCCACCGCGCCCGGCCTCTTTGACGATTTTAAATTAAATTATTTGCTGGAGGTTTTGGGGACCATACAGATAGTGTCAATTTCAGCTGCAATCTTTTTTTTTTTTTTTTTTTTTGAGACAGAGTTTCGCTCTTGTTACCCAGGCTGGAGTGCAATGGTGCGATCTTGGCTCACCGCAACCTCCGCCTCCTGGGTTCAGGCAATTCTCCTGCCTCAGCCTCCTGAGTAGCTGGGATTACAGGCACGCACCACCATGCCCAGCTAATGTTTTGTATTTTTAGTAGAGACGGGGTTTCACCATGTTGGCCAGGATGGTCTCGATCTCTTGACCTCGTGATCCACCCGCCTCAGCCTCCCAAAGTGCTGGGATTACAGGCTTGAGCCACCGCGCCCGGCCCTCAGCTGCAGTCTTTTATGGGACTAAGTGTAATTATGAAGTCTCAAATGAGGTTTTTCCTCCTTCCACCTATTGTCATGGTCAAGGCAGATATGTTTTCTTACTGTCCACTTCTATATGGTGGGCTTATTTATCCTTAACCTTTTACTGTTGGAAAACCCTTTGGTGTCTCGACTTAGTGTGTGGAATCCCCTGTTAGATTATCTACCATGAGCAGATCTTTTTGTCTTCCATCCTCTGTATTCTTAGAACTGAAGTTTGGGGTCTTCAGGAATCTGCAGTTATCCTTAGGGCAAAAATCGCCTTTGCTCTCTTAACTCTGGGGAGTTCCTGCTTTGACTTCACTTTAGCCACCGAGGTTCCTTTTTGCCACTCAGTTGTTTTCATTGCCTTTTTTTTTTTTTTTTGAGACAGTGTTTCACTCCATCACCCAGACTGGAGTACAGTGGCATGATCTTGGCTCACTGCAACCTCCATCTCCCGGGTTCAAGTGATTCTCCTTCCTCAGCCTCCCAGGTAGCTGGGACCACAGCCATGTGTCACCGTGCCTGGCTTTTTAAATTTTTGGTAGAGACAGGATCTCACCATGTGGGCTAGACTGGTCTCAAACTCCTGACGTCGGGTAATCTGCCCACCTCAGCCTTCCGAAGTGCTGGGATTCCAGATGTGAGCCACCGTACCAGGCCTCATTGCCTTTCAGACTGTCTCTTCTACAGTGTTGACAAAAAAGGAAATTCCTTTGTAGGGATTGTAATGAGCTCTTTTCTGCACACTCAGTTTTTGTCAGTGAGCATCTTCTTACAGAAATATAGGTATTCCTATAATTGATTGCTTTAGGACAAACTTCTGAGCACCTATTATGTTCCAAGGACATAAGTTAAGCTTAATTAGTGAATATTTAAAGAAATGGAAGAGACTCTTGCTGGCTCTGCAAGAGAGAAGAGGCAACAGGTAAACAAAGGTAGTTGAGCTCTGGGCCCTGCCCCCACTTCTACAAGGATAATCCTACTTTGATGCATTTCATGTATTAGGGTTCTAAGGAAGATTTGTGAATGATAAAAAGGGTATTGCTGTTGTCAGACAATCACTAATCTACTTTAAAGTCTCCCTTCTGAGGCTGGGCGCGGTGGCTCACGCCTGTAATCCCAGCACTTTGGGAGGCCGAGGAGGGTGGATCACGAGGTGAAGAGATCAAGACCATCCTGGTCAACATGGTGAAACCCCATTTCTACAAAAATACAAAAATTAGCCGGGCATGGTGGCGCACGCCTGTAGTCCCAGCTACTCAGGAGGCTGAGGCAGGAGAATTGCTTGAACCCAGGAGGCGGAGGTTGTGGTGAGCTGAGATCACGCCATTGCACTCCAGCCTAGGTAACAAGAGCAAAACTCTGTCTCAGAAAAAAGAAAAAAAAAAAGTCTCCCTTCTGCAAGGGAAGACACTATGCTATAAACAGGGTGAGTGGCTTTTCCCAGACAATTCAGCAGAGCCAGCACCGTGCTTCTCCTGGCTCCTTACGCTTCTTTTTGGAAGCTGGGTAGTCAGGTGCCCAGCAGACGTGGAAATGTTCTTATTCTGTGTTGAAAGCACAGAAAAAAATAAGAACGGTCAATAAAAAAAATAGGTGACTCGTGTCCATAGAGGCATTATTCCAGTCTTATCCCTTCATTAGCAGAGCATCATAAAGTAATTCATTGAAAGGACATATTTGTTGATTATACAAAATAGTAATCAACAACAGAGCAATCTAACTGGAAGTCTGCATGTCCCAAAAGCCTCCGCTGTGTGGTCAAGCATAGACCACCTGGAGTTGTAGCACCAGGGTGATTTCCCTATGGGTGCCCTAACAAAGTACCACAAGCCGGATGCCTTAAGACAGCACACATTCATTGTCTTACAGTTCTGGGACTACAAATCTGAAAGCAAGATGTTGGTAGGGTCATGCTGTCTCTGAATCCTAGGGGAGGGTCCTTCCTTGCCTCCCCTGGTTTCTGGTAGCCCAGGTGTTCTGTGGCTGTGGGCAGCATCATTCCAGTCTCTGTCTCCATCTTCACATGGCCATCTTCCTTCTGTGTCTGTGGCTAAAGTTTCTCTTCTTGTAGGATACCAGTCATATTGGATTAGGGACCCACCCTACTCCAGTATGACCTTATCTTTAATTGCATCTGCAATGACCCCATTCCCAATGACCTCGTGTTCTCAGATACCAGGAGTTAGGCTTTCAGCATTTATTTTGAGGAAAACACAGTTCAATCCATAACAACACACACCTTATAAAGTTATCTGCAGTATCAGGGAATTACAAATTTTTTTAAATGTAAGAACTCTCTGGTCCGGCACAGTGGCTCATGCCTGTAATCCCAGCACTTTGGAAGGCCAAGGCAGGTGGATCACTTGAGATCAGAAGTTCTTTTTTTTTTTTTTTTAGACAGAGTTTCACTCTTGTTACCCAGGCTGGAGTGCAATGGCGCGATCTCGGCTCACCGCAACCTCCGCCTCCTGGGTTCAGGCAATTCTCCCTCCTCAGCCTCCTGAGTGGCTGGGATTACAGGCACGCGCCACCATGCCCAGCTAATTTTTTGTATTTTTTTTTAGTAGAGACGGGGTTTCACCATGTTGACCAGGATGGTCTCGATCTCTTGACCTCGTGATCCACCCGCCTCAGCCTCCCAAAGTGCTGGGATTACAGGCTTGAGCCACCGCGCCCGGCGAGATCAGAAGTTCTTGACCAGCCTCGCCAACATGGTGAAACCCCGTCTGTACCAGAAAATGTAAAAACTAGCCAGGCGTGGTGGCACTCACCTGTAATCCCAGCTACTCAAGAGGCTGAGGCAGGAGAATTGCTTGAACCTGGGAGGCAGAGGTTGCAGTGAGGCAAGATCGCGCCACTGCACTCCAGCCTGGGTGACAATGCAAGACTCTGTCTCAAAAAAAAAAAAAAAAAAAAGAACTTTCTGCTCAACTGGCAGCATTTTTTCCAGAAGTCAGATGACATACTGGCTAGAATTATTGGGTGGGGTGGGAGATGTGGGGGAGGACACAGAGCTGGAGAGGCAGAGATGATGGGGAAGGAGGGAAAGGTCTGTGGGCCACGGGGCAGCAGCCGAGAGGACAGTGGATATGAATTTTTAGTGATTTAGCTACTTTTTTGTGGAGCTTCTTGGTTTAGATGGAAGATATTTCTGTATAAAGAGTACAAGGAAAATTGTCCTGAGACAAATATTGTTACTTGTATTTTTTCTTATTTTATTAGTCATTAATTTTTTTCTTTTTAATGAGCATTATTCGAGATAAATAATTTATTTTTAAAGGACAAATCAAGGTGAGAATATATCATAATTCTTGACATGATGGGGTATTTGTGGCAAAAAATAGCTTCTATCCTTTCTTCTTACCTAGATGAGGTTTGTGGAAATGAGTTCCTTTCTTGGGGAAACTCTCAGTGACTTGCTGAGAATTGTTTATGTTATGCCTCCCAGTGCTGTGCATACCTAGACAGTGCTGAACTATTTTTGGATTCAGCCTAATAATGTTCCTTGTCACGATTGTGTTTAAATCACATGAAATATTCAAATCATGTTCAGGGTTATTTTTTCTCTGTTTATGAAAGAACTCTATTTTTTCTTCCTGCTGTGAGCACTTGAATCTTATGTAAATGAATTGGTCAGATGTCCTAAAACCTGTTTTTCACAGCCTCACATCACTGACAAGACATTTTGCTTTTGGTTTCAATCACTGTGCAGGGTTTTGTAGCCTAATGACCTCAACTTGATGACACTATTGGTACTTACTAATCTAATGTTTACATTTTTGTTCCTTTGCTTTTTTCTTTAGGATTCCTGGACTCCAGAGTTAAAGGTGAAGTTGGAGAAGTTTCTAGCTTTAATATTTAAAGCCAGCAACACACCAAAACTCTTAACAATATATGTATCCTTTTGGAGCAAATAGAGACCCCCTATGGTTTTAGAGCAGATTTTATTTAGAGTAGCACACTGGCTTAGGTAGCCTCATGAAATAGGGTTAATTAATAGTGTGACTTTCATATTTACAAGGTGAATGAATCATTAGAGGCAGGTCATGTAGAGATCAACTTCTATATCATTGTATCTCTGAGATTGTCTTTTCTGTTAGGTCTTATTTTGATATCACATGGCAGGAAGCTGTCTTGTTAGAAGAGAAAGTTTGTCTTCTTGTAAAAGAACTCCTTGGGATAATTGTTCATTTCTAGAAGATCACTTAACCACTTTCAAGGCCTTCAGGCCATGGCATATGGATTGGGTGACCAACTAACTTGTCATTCAAATTGGGACTTCTTTTTAAATAACTTTATTGAGATGTAATTTACATACCATAAAATCTACTCATGGTAAGTGTACAATTGAATGCCTTTTGGCAAATGTACAGAGTTGTACAGCATCACCACAGTCCAATTCAAACTGGGACACTTTCAAGAGTAAAAAGGGGCACTAACTGGACAGAGTTCCAGGGTGACAGGTGTAAATAGAGCCTGTTTCAGGAAGAGCAGAACATTAGGTCACCCAACCCATGGGAGACTAATTTCCCAAAGGTTATTAGTCTTTAAAGACACGTATCTCCTTTTATTTGGAATAATAAAAATGTATCCAAAGTTACTTAATAACAAGAACATAATGTTTTGAATTATAAAATTGGTGATTGTTTTGTTTAATTTCATGAAAAATTTAGGCTACTTTGCCACATAATACCTTCTGCTTCCTTTCTAACTCCAAAGCATTTGACTTTCTTGGCCTAACTGAAGTTTTCTGTCGCTAGGATTCCATGCCACGTTTCTGCTTGAGCTTCCTAAGCTTTCCCTGTTGCCTGGATTCAAATTCCTCAGTTGGCCTCAGCCAGACAGACTGATCTACAGCTTTCCTCTCTGCTTTTATATCCTTAAGGCTTTTGTTTAAATTCTTCTCTTTACCTACATACCACAATGTTTGCATATCTAGTCCTTTTTCTTCCTAGAGTTCCATATGCAGCGATTTTCAGTGAAATTAGAACTTTCCTAGCTTGGCTTGTAATTATTTGAATATGCTTTAAGAAAGTATTTCTCAGCTTAATTTTTTAAAAATACTGCTCCTTGTGGAACAGGGTTATGCCATGGTGTACCCAGAGTAGCTCAGCTTAAAAGTTATGGGTGCCAGTATGTTAAGAATCTAAACAAAATGACTTACATGGTAAATTATATTAGTTACATTAATAATAGTATATTCAAAACAGTACCTGACTGGGCCCCGTGGCTCACACCTGTAATCTCAGCACTTTGGGAGGCTTAGGTGAGAGGATCACTTGAGCCCAGCAATTTGAGCCCAGTGTGGGCAACATGGTGAAACCCTATCTCTGCAAAAAGTACAGAAAGTTAGCTGAGCATGGTAGCATCCATGTGACTGTAGTCCCAGCTATTTGGGGGAGACTGAGGTGGGCAAATTACCTGATCCCGGGAAGTTGAGGCTGCAGTGAGCTGTGATGGTACCATTGAACTCCAGCCTGGGCAACATAGTGAGACCCTCTCTCAAAAAAATAAGAATAAAAAAATTAATAATAAAAGTACCGGCCAGGCGCGGTGGCTCAAGCCTGTAATCCCAGAACTTTGGGAGGCCGAGGCGGGTGGATCACGAGGTCGAGAGATCGAGACCATCCTGGTCAACATGGTGAAACCCCGTCTCTACTAAAAATACAAAAAAAAAAATTAGCTGAGCATGGTGGCACGTGCCTGTAATTCCAGCTACTCAGGAGGCTGAGGCAGGAGAATTGCCTGAACCCAGGAGGCGGAGATTGCAGTGAGCCGAGATCACGCCATTGCACTCCAGCCTGGGTAACAAGAGCGAAACTCCGTCTCAAAAAAAAAAAAATAATAATAATAATAATAAAAGTACCTATTTCATAGGAAGAGTATGAAGATCGAGTTAATACATATAACTTGTGTAACACAGTCCAGTATATAGTAAGTGCTTGATAACGATTGGCTATAGGCATTATAGTTTCTAAGTACCATCACCTTTCATCCTGTTCAACATGCTTTGAAGCATATGCTGAAATATAGCAGGTAACTATAAATGACATTCTAATATTTTCCTTGTTACATGAAAATATTTGCAGTTTACTTCAATACATTAAGCTTCTACTATGAGTCAAATATTGTTCTAGGCTTTAGGGATATAAAGAAAATGCCAAGAGATAATTCTGTTAGCTAAATTGAAGCTTTGAACAATAAAATGGGAGTCTGTGAGGCAAACAGAGGAGAGGTGGGAATTACAGGTAGAGGAGACATCCTGTGCAAAGGCACTGAGACAGTACCTGGGAAGCTAAATAATTTAATACTGCTGGAGCAGGTTATTGACATAGACAAAGGCAGAGACGAGGAAGGGCCTAGGTCATAAAGGTTCATGCCAAGTCCTGTATGGAATGAGGAGCCTTTGAAGTGTTTTAAGCAGGAGAATAACAGTTGTATTTGCAAAAAAATCACTTTTTGCTTCCTGATTATAAAATCAATTGTGTTTCTTATAGAAAATTTGGGAAGTACAGAAATGTATTTGTATACAGACATACACCCAAAAGTATATAATATTTGTAATAAACATAGGTACATATATGTGTATGTATATTTCTAAGTATTTTTATAAAAGGAAGAGAACATCTTCCCATGTCATAAAGCAGGTGAAGTTCCCTCAGAGGCTTAAACATAGAGTGACCACATGACCCAGGAATTGCAGTCCTTCCTGTATACCCAAGAGAAATGAAAACACACATATGTCCACACGACAATCTGTACATGAATGTTCATAGTAACATTATTCATAATAGCCAAAAAATGCAAACAGCCCAAATGTCTATCATCTTTTGAATGGATAAACAAACTGTGGAGTTGTCCAAATGATGGAATATCATCCAGCCATAAAAAGGAATGAAGCACTGATTCATGCTGTGACATGAATGATCCTTGAAAGCATTATGCTAAATGAAAGAAGCCAGTGACTGGGACCAGGTATTATGTGACTCTATTCATAAAATGTCCAAAAGGCAAATCTGGAGAGACAGAAAAGTAGATTAGTGGCTGCCAGAGGCTGGGGAGAGCAGGGAAAATGTACTCACTGCTAGTGAGTACAGGGTTTCTTTTGGAGGATGATGAAAATGTTCTAAAATTGATTGTAGTGATGGTTGCACACCTCTGAAAATACTGAAAACCATTGAAATCTCTCTCTCTCTCTCTCTCTCTCTTTCATTCTCTCTCTCTCTCTATCTCGATGGAGTTTTGCTCTTGTCGCCCAGGCTGGAGTGCAATGGCGCCACTTCAGCTCACTGCAGCCTCCACCTCCCAGGTTCAAGTGATTCTCCTGTCTCAGCCTCTTGAGTAAATGAGATTATAGGCACCTGCTACCTCACCTAGCTAATTTTTGCATTTTTAGCAGAGACAGAGTTTTGCCATGTTGGCTAGGCTGGTCTCAAACTCCTGACCTCAGGTGATCCAACTGCCTCAGCCTCCCAAAGTGCAGGGATTATAGGTGTGATTCACCATGCACGGCCTGAAAGGCACACTTTAAGTAGGTGAATTATACAGTATGTGAATAAATCTATTACAAAAAAAAATAAGGAAAAATTTAAGACAAGGGAAAAGAAACATGTTAAGTAACTGCCTTCAGTCTTGCCGCCAGAGACATGTGGGAACTGAGATTTGAACCCAGGCAGTCTGGCTCCAGAGTTCGTAGTCTTAGCCATTGTGCTGTGATAGGCTTTCATTGCAATATCAATTTCCTTAGGATAAAGCTTTGAATTTAAGTTAGAGTTGAAGTATGTATAAAACCAGATTTGCATTTTTAGTAGAATGTCTTGGGAAGGCCTTTGGAAGGTCCAGTTTGGAGGCTGTTGAAATAGTGCAAGACTTGAATTCAGACAGTGCTAATTGAGATGAGGAGAGGAAGACTTATTTGGGAGTGAGGCGAATATGGAGAAGTTGCTTAGCTATTTATAGCAACAGTTGGAGCTGGCCTTCAGGGTTCCGAGAACCCTCCGTTTCACCATGCTGAGGTGCTTTCTCGCATTAGCTGCAGGGTGTCTTGATACCCCGAGTCCTGTTCCCGGAATGCCTGTTTTCCTGAACTTCTTTGTCATCCTAGAAGGAGAGTGGACAAAGTAACAAAGGTAAATCATCTAGATTTAAATTTGTCTAAGAACAACTTTGCTAATACAAGTTTTAAGTAGTAAGATAGGTGCAAAGATGGAGAGAATTCATGATTTTGGCTTTAAGAGTCCAAATATTTCTGAAGGGCTTTGCAGTCATATGGATCTGCAGTTCCTTGAGGCCCTTTTCAGGAGGGCTAGTATTGTTAGCTTCGCCTTGTATATCAGATAGCTAAGCCTCAGAGAAGTGAAGAGAATCCAAGTAATATCCCAAAGGAAAGGAACTGCAGCCGCAGCAGCCGCACACATACCCGGGAAGACACAGGGCGGCATGGGTGAGGAAAGAATTATTTTAATTGTTTTGATATATTTAACTTTTACCTTGAACTAGTCAACTGGGGTCTTCAAAGAAATATGGTATACCCATTCTTATCAAGCATTTTCCATTCCAAAGTAGGAATTCTAGGTTTTTTTGTTGTTTTTTTTGTTTTTTGTTTTTCATTTTTGTGACACAGTCTTGCTCTATCGCTCAGGCCAGAGTGCAGTGGCGCGATCTTGGCTCACTGCAACTTCTGCCTCCCAGATTCAGGCAATTCTCTTGCTTCAGCCTCCCGAGTAGCTGCGACTACAGGTGCACACCATCACACCTGGCTAGTTTTTATATTTTTAGTAGAGACAGGGTTTTACTATGTTGGTCAGGCTAGTCTCGAGCTCCTGCCAACCTCGGCCTCCCAAAGTGCTGGGATTATAGACGTGAACCACCGTGCCTGGCCGAATTCCAGTCTTAAGTTTGTAGCATAAACTATTATTTTTCCATGGTCAATCATTTTTATCAGAACTATTCACTTTTGAGTAAGGTGAGAAAACTATAATTAATGTGAAGTTGGTGGCCACAGCTGGGGAACTGTGCCTCAAGTTTGCTTTTGATACTGTATTTTGAAAGCTGCTTCTCTTTGGTGAGTATTGCTAGCATAACCCTCAGTTCCCAGCAGGTGGAGTGTGACTACAGGAGATCTTGTTCCATGCCCCTTCAAAGCAGAATCATGTCAGAGGATTTCAGAACTTCCTGCCCTTGCTTTTTCCTGTGTGTTTTTTTTGGGGGGCTGAGGGGAGTGAAACCCTTTTTTAAAAAGGAAGCATTAATCATTAAATTATGTAGCTCTTTGCTCACCAGGGAGTTGGCAAATGAACAGTGGGGTTTGTCAACCTCAGGGAGAGCTTGGGTTTGGTTTTGTCACTCAAGATGGCTTTGGTAGCCTCAGCCTTCGAGGAGGCTTTGGAGGCTTGTTTTTGCTCTTGGTAGCCTCAAGTATCCTCAGCTCTGCCGTTCTAAGAGTGCGACTGGTTCTGCCAGCCATGCTGACCCTTCTGTCACTCAGAGGGGACAGGCGCTGCTGACCCTTCCTGGAGGATCAGGGCTACAGATGTGGCCCCACAGGATCAACCTAGACTGCTCCAAGGGTTGCAGGAATGCCCTGAGTCTTGGAGCTCCCCAAGGTTGCCCTGCCCCCAGCACAGTTTGTGGAAGAAGAGTCCCAGCTCACGTTGTCAGCTCTGCAGGCCTGCTCTCTCTGTGTTCATCTAGGTCCGGGCCTTGGCCAGGGTGCATCCCAAGCCAGTTTGCTCACCCCCACAGAGCCGACATCTTTAGCGGGGCCTTTGGATCTTGCCCTGCAGCTCCTGGAAATGCGCCTCAGTCCACTGTTCCATTGCTGCCTGACAGACCATCCCAACTTGGTGGCACAGAACAATGACATTCACTTAACATGGTGACGATGACCCTACATGGTCTGGGAGCTGTGGGTTCAGTTAAGCTGTTCCCCCACAGCAGGTCTCACGGTACAGTCAGGTGGGGTGGGATGGGGCCAGCTCCAAGGCACTCAACATGCAGAGTGGTGGTGGGTGCTGGCTGTCACCTGGGGTCTCAGTAGAGGCCCTTGACGAGAACACTTGTGTGGCCTTTCCTTGTGGCCTGGGCTTCCTCCAGGCATGTTAACTGGATTCCTAGGGTAAATATCCCCAGAGAGAGCCAAGTGGGAAGCTGTGTCACTTTTTCTAACCCAGCTTCTGAAGTCAGTCATTTCTGCTGCATTCTGTTTCTTGCAAGTGAATTCCTAAGGTCATCTCACCTTCAGAGAAAGGAGATTACATTCCTCTTCTTTTTTTTTTTTGAGACGAAGGTTCACTCATTTCCCAGGCTGGAGTGCAGTGGCACAATCTTGGCTCACTGCAACCTCTGCCTCCTAGGTTCAAGCAATTCTTCTGTCCTTAGCGTCCCAAGTAGCTGGGATTACAGGCATGTGCCACTATGCCTGGCTAATTTTGTATATTTAGTAGAGATGGGGTTTCTCCATGTTGGCCAGTCTGGTCTTGACCTCCCAACCTCAGACGATCTGCCCACCTCAGTCTCTTAAAGTGCTGGGATTATAGGTGTGAGCCACCCTGCCTGGCCTACGTTTCTCTTCTTGATGGGAAGGAGGGTGTGTCAAAGACTACAGGCATTTTAAAACCACCGTCACACCTGCATCTCTGGGCCCAAGAGAACTGCCTTAGTTGTTAGTTGAATCGGCAAAGTCACTGTTCTGAACTGGCCTTTGGACTCCTAGGCGGTGTGTGGTGGGGGTGGGGGGGATGAGAAACTTTTCTCTGGTTCCCGAGTTTCTGCAGCTCGTGTCCCGCTAGCGTAAACTGCAGTTTTTGAGCATAGCTTTCTTCTGAGAGCGTTATTGTCAATCTGATAAGTGGCCCAGTTTTGCAGATGAAATAAACATGGGAAGGGGAATGCAAATAGAAGAGCTGTGTTTCTCTACAGGTTTTTAATGTTGGAATTTCAGTAAGGAGACCAGTTTTCAAGCCTGCTTTAGGATCGATTTTAATGAGTTTTCTGAAAGCCAAGCAGAATGGCTGTGGATTTGAGTCTGACAAGTAAAGTGCATCTGTGGAGAAGTGAATGCTATAATGCGGGGTTGCTATGGAGACTGGAGATCAGCATTTTGGGCCCAGGCATGACAGTCATTTGTCACCCCCTGATCCCCTTGTCCCCTCAACCTGCAGCTAAGGCTGCATTAACCAAAGGCACAGACATGCCCCAGTTTAATTCTAGACCTCACGCATTGTTTTAAATGAAGTGGCTGAGTGATATTGTTCTGTGTTTCTTGATAGGAATTTTTCATAGATAAAGGGAAGTTGCCATAAGCTTTTAAAGAAGGCAGAAAAGGTGCTTGCAGCAGAAACTTCCCTCAAAAGGAATTACATTTGAAATATTGCATAGAATAAAAAGTTAGACTGACAATATAGTAACATCGGATTGTTGTTTTCACCTAGTTACTTAAAAAGGATATAGAAATAGTATCTTTTGGCTTTTCTAGCATGATTTTTTTTTTTTTTTTTTTTTTTTTTGAGATAGAGTCTTGCTGTTGTTGTCCAGGCTGGAGTGTAGTGGCACGATCTCCGCTCACTAACCTCTGCCTCCTGGGTTCAAGCTATTCTCCTGCCTCAGTCTCCCGAGTAGCTGGGACTACAGGCGTGCACCACCACACCTAGCTAATTTTTGTATTTTTAGTAGAGACAGGGTTTCACCCTGTTGGCTAGGATGGTCTCGATCTCTTGACCTCATGATCTGACTGCCTTGGGCTCCCAAAGTGCTGGGATTACAGGAGTGAGCCACTGCGCCCAGCCTCTAGCATGAATTGATTCAACCCTTTTAGAAAATGAGCAATTGATCATTTTTCTGGAGTTTAGAGCCCTAAACAGCATTTTAAAAAATAATGAGTCATATTCATAAGTTATGTTTTAACTTTCTTCATCCAATATCTGTTGATGAGTGAAATAGCGAAGAGGCAATTTTTATCTGAATACAAAGAGGAAAGAGTATATCATTATAAAGATAGAGTGGTTAATTTTAGGTTTTTATAGTGGGTGAGAAAAACAATTCTATATTTAAAAATTGATCATTTTGTCTTGAGGCAGCCAATTCAAGTCCCATTTACCCTTTAAAAAAAATGCAGGCCGGGCGCGGTGGCTCAAGCCTGTAATCCCAGTACTTTGGGAGGCTGAGGCAGGTGGATCACGAGGTCAAGAGATGGAGACCATCCTGGTCAACATGGTGAAACCCCGTCTCTACTAAAAGTACAAAAAATTAGCTGGGCATGGTGGCACATGCCTGTAATCCCAGCTACTCAGGAGGCTGAGGCAGGAGAATTGCCTGAACCCAGGAGGTGGAGGTTGCGGTGAGCCGAGATCGCGCCATTGCACTCCAGCCTGGGTAACAAGAGCGACACTCTGTGTCAAAAAAAAAAAAAAAAAAAAAAAAAATGCAGCACCCTAAGTGAAGTAGAAAGGTTAAAAAAGAAAGCTTGAGTGACAGGGGAGAGATTTATATCACTGTTGTGTCAGTAGTTTTGGATATGAAGCATCTCAATAAATTTTGCTGGCGTGACTAAGACAGTTTATTAAAATAATATAAAGGTTCTAATAAGACATCTCCATTAAAAGTTGAAGTCTTGCCACTAGGCGTGGTGGCTCATGCCTGTAATCCCAGCACTGTGGGAGGCTGAGGTGGGAGGATAGCTTGAGGCCAGGAGTTTGTGACCAGCCTGGCCAACAATGTGAGACCCTATTGCTACAAAAACTAAAAAAAAAAAAAACAACTAACCAAGTGTGGTGATGCAGCCCTGAACTACTCTCAGCTACTCAGGAGGCTGAGACGGAGGATAGTTTGAGCCCAGGAGTTGCAGTGAGCTATGATCATGCCACTGCACTAGTCTAGGTGACAAAGCCAGACTCCATCTCAAAAAAAAAAAAAAAAAAAGTTGAGGTCTTGCATGGCAAGGCATCTTGGCTTAGTTGTTCTTGTCTCATAAAACTTTTGACAGGGAAAATAGAAAGTACTGTTTAATAATCTGAAATAAAGTTGATGTGTTTGAGCTGTCACCAAATGGCTTATAGTCATGGACAGGTCTTGTTTGTAGCTAGTTAAGATACCTGCAAGGTGATGCCTCTGTGTAGCAGGCTATTCTCCTAAAGAGTGTACAGTTGTCCCTCAGTATCTACAGGGATCGCTTCCAGGACCCCACAGATAACCAAAATCCACAGATGCTCAAGTCCTTTATATGAAATGGCATGCTCTTTACATGTAACCTTATTTATTTATTTTTGAGACGGACTCTCACTCTGTTGCCCAGGCTGGAGTGCAGTGGCACAATCTCAGCTCACTGCAACCTCCACCTCCTGAGTTCATGCAATTCTCCTGCCTCAGCCTCCTGAGTAACTGGCATTACAGGCGTCCAGCACCATACCCGGCTAATTTTTGTGTTTTTAGTAGAGACGGGGTTTCATCATGTTGGCCAAGCTGGTTTTGAACTCCTGACCTCAAGTGATCCACCCGCCTCAGCCTCCCAAAGTGTTGGGATTACAGGTGTGAGCCACCACGCCCAGCCGGTATTTGCATATAACCTACACACATCCTCCCATATACATTAAATCATCTCTAGAGTACGTATACCTAATGCAATATAAATGCTAGGTATATTGTCATACTGTTTTGTTTATGATGTGAAAATGACATGAAAAAAGGTCTGTATCTGTTCAGCTCAGGTGCTTTTTTCCCCCAAATGTTTTCTTTTTTCTTTTTTTCTTTTTTTTTTTTTTTAAGATGGAGTTTCGCTCTTGTTACCCAGGCTGGAGTGCAATGGCACGATCTCGGCTCACTGCAACCTCCGCCTCCTGGGTTCAGGCAATTCTCCTGCCTCAGCCTCCTGAGTAGCTGGGATTACAGGCACGCGCCACCATGCCCAGCTAATTTTTTGTATTTTTAGTAGAGACAGGGTTTCACCATGTTGACCAGGATGGTCTCGAGCTCTTGACCTCGTGATCCACCTGCCTCGGGCTCCCAAAGTGCTGGGATTACAGGCGTGAGCCGCTGCACCCGGCCTCCCAAATGTTTTCAGTCTGAGGTTGTTGAATCCACAGATGCAGTACCCATGGATGTGGAGTCCTGATTGTATTTGAAAATGGTTACAAACATTTCCGTCCTATTGCCTCCTTCTCTCATTCCAATAGGCTGTAGCAGCCTTTTATCCCTGAGATGTGCCACACTTTGAAATTGTCATAAATTTTGATTCTGGGTTCCCAAGGCAAAAATTCCACAGATAATTATGTTTAGTTAATTGCAGAATGAGCTTCTTGGGGGATGGGATCCTTTGTACAGTCTCCTTTACAGAGGGACTGCTTTGGGGACGTTCACGTTGGTGATTTGAGAGGTCATTGGGCCTAACTAATGAGTTTTGGTACTTGATTCATCATGTACCACTTGGTCTGTGTTGAGAAAGTTTGCATGGATATTCTTCAATACTTACTACCACAACATGGGATTATGAATAGTATTCTATGGAATTTTCAACATTGGAAGTTTTAGCTTATCTAATTTTGAACTATATATATATACATATATATGAAAAACTTTATTTGTATTTATTTACTTTTTTGAGACAGCTCTGTTGCTCAGGCTGGAGAATAGAGGTGTGATCTTGGCTCAGTGCAACCTCTGGCTTCTGGGTTCAAGCAATTCTAATGCCTCAGCCACCTGAGTGGCTGGGATAACAGGTGCATGCCACTATGTCCAGCTAATTTTGTATGAGCTGGGGTTTCACCATGTTGGCCAAGCAGGTCTTGAACTCCTTACTTCAAGCGATTCACCTGCATTGGCCTCCCGAAGTGCTGGGATTATAGGTGTGAGCCACCACACCCAACCTAAAAAATTTGTTTGTTTTGAGATGAAGTCTGGCTTTGTTGCCCAGCCTGGAGTGCAGTGGTGTGATCTTGGCTCATTGCAACCTCCTCCTCCATGGTTAAACCAATTTTTCTGCCTCAGCCTCCTAAGCAGCTGGGATTACAGGAGTGTACCACCATGCCCTGCTAATTTTTGTATGTTTAATAGAGATGGAGTTTCCCCATGTTGGCCAGGCTGGTGTCAAACTCCTGACCTCTGGTGATCTGCCTGCCTCAGCCTCCCCAAGTGTTGGGATAACAGGTGTGAGCCACCATGCTCAGCTGAAAAACTTTAATAATAGCACAAATTTAACACATCTTAAGAGTCAGAAGGTAGTGACCCCTTTTCCCTAATAATGTTTAAGGAGAGTCTTGATAAATGATTTTCAGTGACATTCTCAGGGTATTCAAGTACTGGATGTAAATTCATGTCAGGTGATTTTTTTTTCTTTTTTGAGACAGAGATTTACATTCATTGCCCTGACTGGAGTGCAATGGCGCAATCTTGGCTCACTGCAACCTCTGCCTCCCAGGTTCAAGAGATTCTCCTGCCTCAGCCTCCCAAGTAGCTGGGATTAGAAGCATGCACCACCACATCCAACTAATTTTGTATTTTTAGTAGAGATGGGATTTCACCATGTTGGCCAGGTGGAGTCAAACTCCTGATCTCAGGTGATCCACCCACCTTGGCCTCCCAAAGTGCTGGGATTACAGGTATAAGCCACTGCTCCCGGCCTATGCCAGGTGACTTTTTAAAGTTATCTTTCAATACTGAGATTTGTGGATGTTTAATAATAATAAATAGTTCAGTATCATTGATATTTTGAGTTTTAATAGTAAAAATATTCTACTTCTGTACATAAACAGTAATGAAACATGAAAGTTTGAAATACATTTGAATGTAGGTTTTTAGGACAAAAATGAGGACGGATGGATAACTTCGGTTTTCTCAAACCTGTGGTGTGCATCAGAGCCATTGGGGAGTTAGCTGAATATTTGTGGATGATTCTGATATATTTCCGAGCTTGCATTCCACTGCTTTAGGATGGAACTTTCCTGCCTCTTTCAAAAGTTACCTACTTGTATAGAAATATATTTACAAAGTCTTTCACCCCTCTCCATGAAATAAAATAGTAGTAATAGCCACCACTATTGATCACCTTCTCTGGGCCAGCCATTGTGGTAGACACTTTGAATGTGTTTTTTTAATTTAATCTTCACAGTAACCCATTGAGGTAATTATAACTGTCCCCATTTTATAGGTTAAGAAATGAGAATCACAGAGTTAAATATTTTGTCTGTGGTTACCCAATAAAAAAGTAGAGTAGGGATTTGAGCCCAGGTCTTCATAATTTTAAAATATCTCTTCATATCCTTGAAACCTGTTCATTTTGAACACTTCAAATATGATACAATACTTGGATCAGGACAAGAGTGAGTTACTCTGAGTTTGGGGGTAGTGTTAACTCCTTTTGTCCAAAATGTGACCTTCAAGAAAGGGAAGGTGGTACGAGCAAAGAAGTGCCAACACCAGTGAGGATTCACCTGTTCGTGCTGCCGCTAGGGAGGCTTGGCCTCAGTGTCTTCAGGGCTGCCCTCTGGGAGATTCCAAGCAGAGAATCCTAGAGCCTTCCAAGCTGTTCGCTCTAATGCCTGGTGGGAGTGGTCTTATGCTTTGTACCAACTGGCAGAATGATGGAATCTTTTCTCCTTCTGGATTCTTGTTTTTTCTAGCATAAGTCACGCAGCCCGAAGTTTTCTTTAAAATAAAGAACTGTCCTGCAGATACCAGTTGTCTCCCAGAAAACTACATAGTACAAAAACAGAGAAAAAAACACAGGTTTGATTCAGGCATTTTATGAGCTCAGTTTATTTAGAATGAAATGTTTATTTTCTTTTTCTTTTCTTTCTCTCTCTCTCTTTTTTTTTTTTTTTGAGACAGAGTCTTACTCTGTTGCCCAGTTGCCCAGGCTGGAGTCCAGAGGCGCGATCTCCACTCACTATAACCACTGCCTCCCAGCTTCAGGTGATTCTGGTGCCTCAGCCTCTTGAGTAGCTGGGATTACAGGCGAGCACCACCATGCCTGGCAAATTTTTGTATTTTTTTAGTAGAAACGGGGTTTTATCATGTTGCCCAGGCTGTTCTCCAACTCCTGGTCTTCAAAGTGTTGGGATTACAGATGTGAGCCACCATGGCCCGCCCTAGAAACGTTTATTTTCTTAGACATAGAACTAAAAGAAATTAAATGAGGTTCAGTCAAAGGAATAGGTTTTCTTGGGAAACCCAGTGAGGATTGAGTTGAACTTCCTGAAAAGGAAATTTTAAGTCAGTGGTTACAAAGCACTACGTAAATAAATGTGGCATAAAATAGAAGTAAGTGTGAAACACAAATAGTGTCAACTTTATTATTACAACGAAATATTCGGACAATAAGTATGGTATTTCTTTGAGAAGAAGACAATTATTTTTCATATTGTGGGTTTTTATTGATGTTTTTTGTTTAACTGTCTTCCTAGAAACGTTGCATCAGCTCCACCAGCAGCTGGTTGAAGCGGAACGTAGGTCAATGACATACCTCAAACGGTACAATAAGATCCAGGCAGACTACCACAATCTCATTGGAGTCACAGCAGAGCTGGTGGATTCTCTAGAGGCCACAGTCAGCGGCAAAATGGTAAGGAAGATCCCCTTGCGTGTATGTCTGTTTGGCAATGAAGAGGTCTTATGGGCAAGGACTATGTTGATAGGGCAGATGGAGCCTGCCTGTTTCCATTCCAAGCCAATGGTGCCTGCTGCTCTATTTCCAAAAGCTAATATGCACGGAGGAGATGAAGCTGATATTTTGTGCTGTTTTTAACAAGCTTCGTGCAGTGTTTTATCCATTTTTCTTAACACACTATCTGCCATATCTTTACTTCTCTACCTTCTTCTTTTTTTTTTGAGATGGATTTCGCTCTTGTTGCTCAGGCTGGAGTGCATTGGCGCAATCTCGGCTCACCGCAACCTCCACCTCCCAGGTTCAAGCAATTCACCTGCCTCAGCCCTTCGAGTAGCCGGGATTACATTAGCCATGATGCCTGGCTAATTTTGTATTTTTAGTAGAGACCGGGTTTCGTCATGTTGGTCAGACTGGTCTCAAACTCCTGACCTCAGGTGATCTGCCTGCCTTGGCCTCTCAAAGTGCTGGGATTACAGAAATGAGCCACTGCGCCTGGCCCTTTTAAAAAAATACATTTTTCAGAAAATTGAGACAGGGTCTTGCTTTGTTGCCCAGGCTGATTTTGAACACCTGGGCTCAAGTGATCCTCCTGCCTTGGCCTCCCAAAGTGCTAGGATTACAGGTGTGAGCTATTGTGCCCAGCCTCTACCCTATTAATGTTAGCAAAGGATAAATTGTCTGGCAACAGAAAAATACATTGTGACAAAAAAATGAGGGGGACATGCCCTATCGTATAGGAAAGCCACTGATTTTCTGATATTAGTTTTGTATCCAGCTGCCTTTCAGAATCCTATTAATCTTGCGTTTTTTGATTGATTCTTCTGTATTCTGAATTGACAGTCATGTTATCCAATAATATTTGTTTTGCTTTTACAGTTAATCTTACATTGGCTGTGGCCTATGGTTTATTGTTGAATGTCATCATGGGCATCTTTGTCTTGTTCCTGACTTTTTTTTTTTTTTGGATACAGAGTCTTACTCTGTCACCAGGCTGGAGTGTAGTGGCACAATCTTGGCTCACTGCAACCTCCGCCTCCTGGGTTCAAGCAATTCTTCTGCCTCAGCCTCCCTAGTAGCTGGGACTACAGGTGCATGCCACCACGCCCAGCTAATTTTTGTATTTTCAGTAGAGACGGGGTTTCACCATGTTGGCCAGGATGGTCTCTATCTCTTGACCTCGTGATCTGCCCACCTCGGCCCCCCAAAGTGCTGGGATTACAGGCTTGAGCCACCGTACCCGGCCGTTCCTGACTTTTTATAAAGTACAATAAAATCTGTTTGTAGACATACAGGTTTTTTAAAAATTAACTATAGGTTCATACTACATTAATAAAAAATAATTCAGGCCAGGCACAGTGGCTCACACCTGTAATCCCAGCACTTTGAAAGGCTGAGTCAGGAGGATCATTTGAGGCCTGAAGTTTGAGACTACTCTAGGCAACATGGTGAGACCTCTGTCTCTTAAAAAAAAAAAAAAAAATTAAAAGTAAAATTAAGCTGGCCATGGTTTCTCACATCTGTAATTCCAGCACTTTGAGAGGCCAAGGTGGGCAGATCATCTGAGGTCAGGAGTTCGAGACCAGCCTGGCCAACATGGCAAAACCCCATCTCTACTAAAACTACAAAAATTCACTGGGAGTAGTGGCGCATGCCTGTAATCCCAGCTACTCGGGAGGCTGAGGCAGGAAAATCTTTTGAACTCGGCTGGCAGAGGTTGCAGTGAGCCAAGATCACACTACCACACTCCAGCCTGGGCGACAGAGTGAAACTGTATCTCTAAATAAATAAATAATTTAATTTAAAAAAAGATGAGTTAGAGGAGGGAAGCGGGACTCTTTACTAGCCTTTTTAATGTAAAAGAACTACGTGCTCGTGGTAAAAAATTGAAACAATTCAGAGAAGTGTATAGTAAGGAGCAAAAGTTCCTTCACCACAATGCTGTAGATGCATTTATTTATTGATGTTCAAGACTGACATTGGGCAGGGCACGGTGGCTCACGCCTATAATCCTAGCACTTTGGAAGGCTGAGGTGGGTGGATCACCTGAGGTCAGGAGTTCAAGACCAGCCTGGCCATCATGGTGAAACCCCATCTTATAGAAAAAAAAAAAAACTGACATTGTCTTGTGTATTATTTTAGAACATTTCCCAGCATATGCATGTGTGTGTGTACATGTGTAAACACATGTGTACAGCATATGTACACTTAGTTGGGTCATATGATTCATTACTCTTTTGAAACTTGCCATTTCTCTTTTGATATAACTTGGAGATCTTTCCGCATGACCAGATCCACCCCATTAATTTTAATTCTTGTACACGATTCCGTTATAAAGGTGAATTGTTATCAGAGCTCTGGTGATGAACATTTAAATTTTTTGGTTTTTTGTTTTTTATAACAAAAAAATGTTGCAGCGAACATCCTCGTGTATACTGTACATCTTGATAAAATTCTAAAATGGGAACTGATAGAGCAAAGATACGTATGGGCATGAGCGTTTTGACAGAGGTTGCCAAATTATTTGTCCTAAAATGCCTACAATGCCTGCTCCCCGAATAGTGTCTGAGAGGAGCTGTCTCCACACGTGGCAGCACTAAATTGGAGTAAACTTTGAAGTCTTTGTCAGTTTGGTAAGTAAAACTTGGCATTCTGCATATTTTAATTTAGATTTCTTTTTTGTTTTTGAGACAGAGTCTTGATCTCTCACCCAGGCTGGAGTGCACTGGCACGATCTCGACTCACTGCAACCTCCACTTCCTGGGTTCAAGTGATTCTCCTGCCTCAGCATCCCGAGTAGCTGGGACTACAGGCGTGTACCACCACGCCCAGTTAATTTTTGTATTTTTAGTAGAGACAGGGTTTCACCATGTCGATCAGGCTGGTCTTGAACTCCTGATCTTATGATTTGTCCTCCTCAGCCTCCCAAAGTGCTGAGATTACAGGCATGAGCCAGCACGCCTGGCCAATTTAGATTTCTTTAATTATGTATGAGGCTGAGTATATTTTCATATATTGTTCTTTGCTATAGCCATATATATATATATATGTATGTATATGTATATATTTTTTTAGCCGTTTGTTTTCTTTCCTCATTCTCATGTTTTTTTTTTTTTTTTTTTTTTTTTTTTGAGACGGAGTTTCACTCTTGTTACCCAGGCTGGAGTGCAATGGCGCGATCTCGGCTCACCGCAACCTCTGCCTCCTGGGATCAGGCAATTCTCCTGCCTCAGCCTCCTGAGTAGCTGAGATTACAGGCACGCGCCACCATGCCCAGCATGGTGTATTTTTAGTAGAGACGGGGTTTCACCATGTTGACCAGGATGGTCTCGATCTCTCGACCTCGTGATCCACCCGCCTCGGCCTCCCAAAGTGCTAGGATTACAGGCTTGAGCCACCGCGCCCGGCCCATTCTCATGTTTTAAGCAAGAAAGTGACATGATGAGATTGGCTTGTTAGAGAAATGGTTCTGCTAGCAGTTTCAGAAGTTAAAGGAGCAAACAGTTTCAGGACTGAAGGTTTGATGCAAAATCTCAACAGCCACAGAAATCTCCAGAAGAAGAGAACTGAAAAGCATCCAGTGGTTTTGACACTTAGAAGTTCATTGGTTGTGAGCTTTGGCACACGTTTCCATGGAGGAACTCAGGTAGAAAGTTGGTCACATTGTGTTGAAAGGTGAAGGTGGGTTGAGATGGCAAACTCAGGCAGTTCTTTCAAGAACTTTGGCTGTAAAGAGAAGCTGTTGAGAGGGGGTTGATAGACGAGGATCTAGGGTGAAAAAGAAGAATAAGATCTAGGGTAGGCCGGGCACAGTGGCTCACGCCTATAATCCTAGTACTTTGAGAGGCCGAGGCGGGTGGATCACATGTTTTGGGAGTTTGAGACCAGCCTGACCAACATAGAGAAACCCCATCTTTACTAAAAATACAAAATTAGCTGGGCGTAGTGGCACATGCTTGTAATCCCAGCTACTCGGGAGGCTGAGGCAGGAGAATCGCTTGAACTCGGGAGGCGGAGGTTGTGGTGAGCTGAGATCACGCCATTGCACTCTACCCTGGGCAACAAGAGCAAAACTCCAGCTCAAAAAAAAAAAAAAAAAAGATATAGAAGATGGGGCAGGTATGTTTCTAATACGAAGTATATGCAAACATATTTCTAGTTATAGGGAAGAAATAAGTATAGAAAGAAAGGTTAAAATTATAGGATCAAAAGGTATGTTTTTTGTTTGTTTGCTTGAGACAGGGTCTTACTCTGTTGTCCAGGCTGGAGAGCAGTGGTGCAATCACAGCTCACTGCAGCCTCAACCTCCTAGGCTCGAGCCGTCCTCTCACCTCAGCCTTCTGAGTAGCTGGGACTACAGGTGTGTGCCACCATGCCTGGCTAATTTTTATTAGAGCTGGTATTTCACTATGTTAACCATGCAGGTCTCAAACTCCTGAGCTCAAGTGATGCACCTGCCCCAGCTCCCAAAATGCTGGAATTACAGGCATGAGCCACTACACCAGCCCTGAAAAAGGAATGTTTAAATTTTAATACTGTAGAAGTTTACTATAGGAATTCAGAAGGAATGGACTCAGGATAATGTAGCAGGTCTAGCCCTGGGATGGGGTCCCTTTTTCTCCATGTCACTTCACATGTAGCTATGTAACATGGGATGACAGACACCTGCCACAGGATGGACAGAGCCTTTTATGTGGCTGAAGCAGACCAGAAGTTTCTAGCAGATAGGCAAGAGGCCCAGGAGGAGAGAAAAGGGCCCAGCCCAGGCATCCCCAAACTATGGCCCACGGGCCGCATGCGGCTCCCTGAGGCCATTTATCTGGCCCCCCGCCACACTTCAGGAAGGGGCACCTCTTTCATTGGTGGTCAGTGAGAGGAGCACAGTATGTGGCAGCCCTCCAATGGTCTGAGGGACAGTGAACTGGCCCCCTGTGTAAAAAGTCTGGGGACCCCTGGCCCAGCCCTTTCCAACTCCCCAGGGGTGGAGTAGCCCTGCTTCCCACACAGCCTGGGGGGATGGCCTTCCTCCTGTGCAAGTGGATGAGCAGGGGTGGGAGAGCAGCCACTTCTGCTGCCACATGGAAATTCCCCCAGGTGGAATCGAGAAGCTGCAGAAGAGGAGGTTCTTTTCCAACTGTCATTCCTAGAAAAAGTTTTGGAAGGGTGCACACTTTTTAATAGTTGTTTCCCACAGGGATTGGTTTTTTGGAGAATGGTGGGATTCAGGAGAGGCTGTGGTACTTGTACATTGAAATGAGCATACATTTTTTTCTTAAAAGAAAATATATGAGATGGGGCCGGGCACGGTGGCTCAAGCCTGTAATCCCAGCACTTTGGGAGGCCGAGGCAGGTGGATCACGAGGTCAAGAGATCGAGACCATCCTGGTCAATATGGTGAAACCCCATCTCTACTAAAAAAATAGAAAAAATTAGCTGGGCATGGTAGCGCATGCCTGTAATTCCAGCTACTCAGGAGGCTGAGGCAGGAGAATTGCCTGAACCCAGGAGGCGGAGATTGCAATGAGCCGAGATCGCACCATTGCTCTCCAACCTGGGTAACAAGAGTGAAACTCTGTCTCAAAAAAAAAAAAAAAAAAAAAAAAGAGATGAAAACAATTCCAGGACTTTCAATGGTGTGTGTCAATCCTGAACTCCTGTAGCTGGTGAGAGAGGCACCACCTCTCTCTTTATTTTCTAAAAAGAAAATATAAGAGATGAAAAAAATTCCAACATCTTTGATGTATGTCAATCCTGAATTCTCGTAGCTCGTGAGAGAGACACAAGAGATACTGAAGAAGAATGCAGAATCCAGCAATGTTGATGGTCACAGCAGCTCAGCTTCATGTTGTCAAGCACTGGATAGTTAATTAAAAGGGTCTCCATCATTCAGTCAGCAAGCATTGGCCGAGCCACCTGTCATATGTTAGGCGTATCTGTGACCTCATTTACCCCCTCACAGCAGCTGTTTCAATAAAGGTGTGGAAAGCAGAGGCAGAGCTATTGGTCTTTTCGAGTCCAGTACTTGAGCCCTGACCTTCGGATTTGAAGCCTGGCTCTCTTTCCCCCACGTTATAGTCACCCAGTGACTTTTTACATGAAGTCACCAAAAGAGTTTGAGATCTGTTTATTCTGCAGTGGAGATACCTGGAGTCGAGTTACATAATTTGCAGTCTGTTGTCTCATGAGCACACCTGTTGTGTGTTAGCACATTGTTCTGTTAGGACCAGTGCTTTTTCTCCTCCCAAGAGCTCTGATGTTAAAGCAAATGATTATTTTTCTAGCTTATATACCTCATCATCGTGCCTTACAGAAAGCTGTTGTGAGGCCGCTCTAATAATTGCCAGCGTGGCTCAGGTGCCCCTCGGTGAGTTTCATGCCATCATCAGTTGTGTTTGTGTCCTCCTTGCAGATCACCCCTGAGTACCTCCAGAGCGTCTGTGTCCGCCTGTTCAGTAACCAGATGCGACAGAGCCTGGCACACAGTGTGGACTTCACGAGGCCTGGGACGGTGAGGCTCCGTACTCAGGGCAGGGTGCCAGTGGTCTCTCCCCCCAAATCTAAAAAGATTGTAACTTTAAAAATAGCATGAGAAAATAACATGCAAGAGGTTACATTTCAGCTGGCTTTTGAAGTCTAGAAACTCGTAGAAGGAAAATAAATGTTTCTGACGAGGGTGCAGCTGAAAGCTGGCCTCTTGGGGAGGGTGAGGAGAGAGGTGTGTTCTGTCTACCAGTTATAGCCACTCAGTGGGGCTCCCAGGGTTGGGGATCAGTAGGAATGGATGGAAACTTTATTCTCTCTCTTTTTTGCAATGGAGTCTCACTCTGTCACCTGGACTGGAGTACAGTGGCACAATCTTGGCTCACTGCAACCTCCACCTCCCCGGTTCAGGCTATTCTTCTGCTTTGGCCTCCCAAGTAGCTGAGATTACAGGTGCATGCCACCATGCCTGGCTAATTTTTTTGTAGTTTTAGTAGAGACGGGGTTTCACTGTGTTGGCCAGGATGATCTCGATCTCCTGACCTCGTGATCCACCCACCTCGGCCTCCCAAAGTGCTGGGATTACAGGCATGAGCCACCTTGCCTGGCCCGTTCTCCTTTTTTAAAAGCACTGCCATAGTGGAGGTTGTGTGGTCTAAAGCAGGGGCTTTTTTTTTTTTTTTTAACTTTTTACTTGAAATAATTGCAATTGCAAAAGTAACAACAGACATTGGCATACCCTTTACCCAGATTAACCAGCTGTTAGCATTTGCCCCTTTCTTTGTTGTGTCTCTCTAAACACTCATGGGCATGCACACATATGCACAAAATCTGTTTTCTAGACTATTTGAGGATAAATTATGTGTATTACCAACCTTTATTCCTAAATACTTCAGTGTATATTTCTTAAGGTAAGGAACATTCATATAACTATAAAGTTACCAACTTCAGTAAATTTAACATTGATACAGCCTTTTTATCTACTGTCCATCTTCCAGTTTTGGTAGTTTGAGTCAATAATGTCCTTCATTGTATTTCTTGTCCTCTGATCATCTAGGGTCAGTTATCACATTGAGTTGGCACAGCTCTTAGCCTCTTAAGCTCGAATGTTTCCTCAGTCTTTGAGTTACATGACATTGACATTTTAGAAGAATGTAATTTTCTCCCTTTAAAAAAAAATAGAACATTTCTCCTTTTGTGTTTGATGTTTCCTTGTAATTAGATTCAGGTTATGCATCCCTGAATCACCTAGGCCAAGTATGACCTCGATGATCTTGTGTCCTCCTTAGGCTGGCACATCTGGAGGCCCATGGTTTTGAGGCAGGCATTCGTAACCAGGGGAGATACCAGTGTCTCTCGAAGTCTTCAAAATACAGGAACCCATGGGCCAGGAGTCCATGCCAACCTCTGCCCCATTCACAAGCTGGGTAGGTGAAGCCCTATGAAGCCAGCTGTACAGATTTGGAACGAAACTCCTGGGTGATCCTGAGGCATCCCTCTGGGTCAGAGCTGCAGCTTTTAAATAAGGATTTGCACGTTAATATAATATTAGAGTCTTAATAAACAGAAGCCTTTTTTTTAGTATTTAAAAGAAAATGTATGCCCTACCTAATTCTCAAGTAGATTTGAAGAAGCAGTTTATTATGAGAAAACATAAATATGAGAAATGATAAAATATAAGAAATAAGAAGGTAGAAAATAAAAATAAGTAAAGAAATTGTGGTTAAGGGAAAACAAGGGTGGGAAAAATAAAATTAAGCAAGGGCTAATGTTAGTACAAAAAATGTATGCTGTGAGTTGCTGTACCTCCAGAGAAGCAGGCTACGGATTTGGCTCTGGGCTTTCTAGCAGACTGTACAAAAAGGGAAACATGAGCAGTTACATGATTCCCAGTGCTTAGAAAGCAGGAGAGGCAGTTACATAATTTTTATTAGGTAATATTTCCTGCATCCAAAACAACACATGTGCTGCATCTGCAGGCTAGGAACCATGACAATAAAACCAGCACCCACAAGCCCACCACACATTGCCCGAAATAGACCATTTCAGTGCTGAGTAAGTTCTCTACCCTTCAGACTTTTTCCAAGTAGGTGTGTTACTTATATAATTTAAAAACAAGTTTAAATACGTTTTTTTAAAAGACTGGATGGTCAGACAACTGCTTCACACAGTTATTTCTGGTGCTAAGACCCAAGGATAGTCTCATGGGTCAGCAGTTTCTATGGATCTTCATAGAAAGCATGTAGTCATGTGCTGAAGAGCAGATGACCTTGACCACTTCCCCTCGGCGTAACAGGAATATCTCAGAATGACTGGCTCTATCAGCTTTTCCACACACGTGGACAGACAGTAGATGCGGAGTCTTTGGGATGTGGCCACAGTGATTTTAGCATGCCGAAATCTTAGAGAATCAGCCGTTTTTAAAAGGTCAGTAAAGTCACCATTGGATATTCAAGTCTTAGAAAAGTAACTTCCTCAGGAGCCCTTCAGAAGAAGGGCTTTAAGCTACATTCCCAAGAATATGGCTGACTCTCTGTCCACTGTCCAGTTAACATTCGGAGGGTTAGGATGCAGAGTGTGCTTACTGGAAACTGGCTTTCTCACGGCGATTAGCATGGCGGGATGTGTCTAGTAGGAGCACTCCTTTCTTCCTCCTCCTCATTTATTTGTTAATTCATCAAGGACTTAGTGTTTTCTAGGTTCAGTTTATAAAATCCCATCATATCTTATATATATAAGCCTCCTTACATTTCTGTCTTCTCTAGGAGGAGTGATGTATCCAACTTATTTGAAACTGATGTTGGCTGGGCATGGTGGTGCACGCCTATAATCCCAACACTCTGAGAGTCCAAGGCTGGCAGATTATTTGAGCCCAGGAGTTCGAGATCAGCCTGGGCAACAGGGGGAAAACTCATCTCTACAAAAAATACAAAAATTAGCTGGCTTGGTGCTGCACGCCTGTAGTCCCAGCTACTCAGGAGGCTGAGGTGGGAGGATCACTTGAGCACAGGAGGTTGAGGCTTCAGCAAGAGGAGATCACACCACTGTACTCCAGCCTGAATGACAGAATGAGACCTTGTCTCAAAAAAAAAAAAAGAAGAAAGAAAAAAACTGATGACATGTTATTAAGCACAGTTTAAAAGGGAGCAGGGGTACAACCCATCTGGTTATCCCACGAGAAGTCACCAATGCCATCTGTCAGAAGACAGTCCCACCACCTGACTGTTATGTTAGCATCAAAGTACAGACTCTGTCTAACCACTGGAAACCAGGGGAGGGAGGATGAGTTATGTTTAGCTTAGTGATAACCATTCTCTTTCTACTGAGACATTAGCTTAGGAACACAATAAAAGCTCCAAAAACCTTTTTATTATTTCTAGCTGATTTCTCTAACAAGGTGATAAAAAGTTGATGAGAGGTCATTGTGAAAGTATAGGAGAATATTGTTGTTGACTAGGCATGCATGCATAAAATTGATTTATGATATCTATCTCAAGAGTTCAAATTTACAATGTGTGAAGAAGGAAATTAAGATAAAGTTTAGATGCAGTGTCCAGTGACTGGAGTGATAGGTTTTAGGATTTGGAAGAAGAAGATTGCTTGCTTTTTTTGCTAATTTTTTAAGGGAACAAATTCTACTCGAGGGCTCAACATAATGCAATTAATTTCAAGATGAATACGTAGCACAAATCAGCCTCCCTCACAGAACGGTCTTGGGTCAGCTCACCGACAGGTGCTGTGTTGAGCTTGAGTGTTACTGTGAATTACGTGCTGTAAAGGAGCTTGGCCTGGCCCTGCCACAAAACCGTTGGTGTCTATAAAGTTTGGTATGCTTGATACTGGTTCTTATATCTGCCAGTTAAAAAGAATCTGGGCTTCTGCCAACTTTCTCACTGTTGAAAATTCAAAAGAGCCCACTAAATAGAGCCCTTCTTTCCCCGAGTTCTGAACTGACCAAAAAATAGGACAAAAGAGTAAAGGAAAAAGGACCTGAAAATGTAACTGTTGGTACTAACAAAGCTTACATTGGAGAATGCGGATCTTTTTTTTTTTTTTTTTTAAGACAGAGTCTCACTTTGTCACCCAGGCTGGAGTGCATTGGCACAATCAAGGGTCACTGCTGCCTTGACCTCCTGGGCTCAAATGATCCTCTCACTTTAGCTTCCTGAGTAGCTGGGACTATAGGCATGTGCCACCATACCTAGCTAATTCTTATTTTTATTTTGTAGAGATGAAGGCTTACTATGTTGCCCAGGCTGGTCTCAAACTCCTGTGCTCAAGTAGTCCCTCCGGCTTTGGCTCCTCCAAATGCTGGAATTACAGGTGTGAGCTGCCACAGTTGGCTGAGAATATGGATTTTGTTTGTAGGCAGGTGGGATCCCACTCGCGCCTGGGAGTTACAGAAGCGTACTTGCACAGTCCTGGATAGCTCTGGCCAAGCCTAGCCCTCTGCCATTGCTGTGGCCACCATGAGGGTGGCACAGAGAAACGGAGTTGACATGTTCTTTCTGGTGAGCTCTGCCCAAAGCAGAAGAGCACAGGCAGGACAGCGATGCCCAGGTTTGCCCCCAGCCTCACCAGTCCCGTGAGTCACTCCCTCTCTGGAGAGGAAGGCTCTCACTGACCGAGCGCCCCACAGTAGAAACACCACAAGAGGAAAGAAGTGTGGGTCTGCTGTCACCTCGTTCATGCCCAGGTAGCTGTGTCCAGAAAGCTGCCCATGTTATCAAAGCTGGTACGTGTATCTAGGCACTCCCAGAGGGTTTATAATGATGGGATTCATTTCTCTGAGGTCAGAGCTCTCAGGTGGCCTTTTCCGTTTGACTCCACGTACTGCTGCTCCAACCCATTTGTCTTTCTGTAGTCCTTACCTTATCAGAGCCTGTGGCTTGCTGGGATATGAGAGAAATCAGATTTTATATTATCAGCAACTTAGTGATAAGAAGTAAGGGAGAAACTTCTCCCTCAGGGCACAAGACGCTGAGTTTTTTGTTTCACAAGCGTGTTGGTTTGCGGGGAACTCTGCCA